GATTATCACCGGGAATAATGTTCACATCACCTATCACATTTCTCACTCCATTAAATGTACTGAAAGATATCGTATTGGTTCCAATGCAACGTTACATCTGAACTGTTAGCCAGCTCTCTCTTTCAGCCATTGACCCGATGTGCATGTTCAGTATTTTCTGTTTTAATTTCATGAAGCAGTGAACAATGATTGTGAGCAGGGATCCTGGCTGATTTTCCTCTTCCTAGGCCAGGAAGATGTGAAGCCAACTGAAGTATCATATCAAAGGAATACAGGTTTGTACTTGGCCAGAAAAAATCACTGCTGTCCAATTGGCCAATCCCCAAATAAATAACTAAATAATCAATCCTGTACCATTCTGTCTCATACCTCGCAATCAATTTATTCACCAGATATCTCATTCCCTCTTGAATTCACGTACACAGTACAGTACAAAACAATTTGCAATACAACAACAACAATAACAAAATTACATTTATATAGCACCTTTTACATCGGAGGAGGTCCCAAGACGCTGGACAGACAGAGTTTCGGACCCAAGCTGGGATTCAGGGATGGGGAGGGTGGAGGGTAGGGGGGAAAAGCAGGGAGATCGAAAGCACCAAACCCCACACATCAACCTCCCCAGTCTTACCAGATTCCACTAGCTTCCTGTTTCCCAATTGATCGATTTCAAGGTCCTCCCCATCGCATTTAAATCCCTTCATGCCCTCCCCACCTTTGTGATCTTCTCCTACTCCATCCTCTGATCGCACCCTTCCGTTCAGCTGACATGAGCCCATACTGTCTCCCCGCCCTCTCTGCACCACCAAAATACACAGTCACGACACTTCAAGTAAAACCTGTGAGGATTTTCCATCCATCAATACTTATTATTATTTTAATGTGAAAGTAGCACAAAAAAGACCACTAAAGTATATACAACACAATTTACATTTATATAGCGCTTTCCACATCAAGGAGGACATCTCAAGTGCTTCACACTGCTGGCTGAGCACCCGAGCTGGGGGTGAGAGATCCCAACATGGGCAGTACATTCCATATACAGCATTTACCATTTTCTGTCTACGGTAATGAAATCAAAATGAGGCTCACCTTCTCACTTCTGAGCTTAAATCTATATTCCTTTGTTCTAGGTTATTTAAACATGTTAAGGATATTACAGTATTAAGTTTCAATTCATCTATTGACTTCAGATCTTGAATATTCCAATTACATCTTCTCTGAGTCTTCTGTACTTTAATATAAACATTCCAAGCTTTCTCAGCCTCTTTCTATAATTCATATGCCTACATAGGAAGTTATCCTACATGAACGGCATTATATAAATCCAACGTGTTGTTATTTCTTCAAAGAATTTCAATAGATTTGGCATCGCCAATCCTTATTTTCAGCCTGACTCAGTTGGTAGAAATCTCGCCTCTGAATCCAAAGGTTGTGGGTTCAAGCCCCGTGCTGAAACATTGTAATTTTGAACTCACAGCCTAGGCTGACACTGCAGTGCAGGACTGGCTACACTGTTTCTTCAGATGAGATGTTAAACCAAGGTCCGCCTGGCTGTTTAAGAGGACACCAAAGATCCCTTGGCACTATTCGAAAAGAGAAGGGAGTTTCTCCCAGTGTCCCGGCCAACAATCCCTCAAATAAAGTCGGTCATTCACTTCATTGCTGTTTTTGGGACAATGCTTTGCGCAAATTGACTACTGAGTTTGTCTAAAAACTACACAGACATTACATTTCACAGTGTATCCTGTGAAATGCTTTGAGTCATCTTCCTGACGTGAATGGTGCTGTATAAAATGTAAAGATTATTATTATTTTAAGGTTGCTTGCACTCATTAAGCACATTCTTAGACTTAACTTTGATAAACACAAAAAGTCACCAAAGTGGTATTAAAAAATACTTACCTTTGAAGCATACCCACTTTTCCTCACCAATGTATCAATCAAGCACAATACATTTAGTGAAACCAGTGGTGTATACAATCTCTCACTTTACTCCTTGACCAAGTGGAATACATTACATTAAGTGGTAGTGGTGAGACAGTCTCTGCACCTACTCTGCACTCTATCGCTTGTCCGATCACTTATTGGGCATCCACCCACATCCCATTTATGGTAGAACAGACTATCACAGTCTCCTCTATGCTCCAATGCCACATATTTCCAGTTACTATGATGAAAGGCACAATTTACATTGGTGACAGTGTGGAGAAACACAAAAGTGAATTTCAGTAGTTCAGTTGGCAGCAGCTAACACTTCATTATCACCCAGAGGGACAAAAAGCCTATTAATAATCTCTCCAAAGCAATAATTGCTGTTTTCAGTTGACTGTGAAGCCTTAATTTGTGCTGGAGAATTGATAATAAGAGGATTCATCTGAGTAATTTAGCGTTTGTCACAGTGACCAATGGTTATCACTGTGTTCTGCTTGATATGAAAATAATCACCAGTGATAATATCTCATGCAGCATTTTCCCCTCATTTGACTAAAATAATAAACTTTTAGAAATTCTGCATATAGAAGGAGGACATTTGGCCCACTGTATCATTATCCCTGAATATCCATTATAAGTGGAAGCGTGGCTGCCTCACTCAGGGAATGCTCTTACTTCAATCCTATTTTACTTCTCATTTCCCATACCTTTTAATATTTTCATTCCTCATGTGTTATAGAAGTTAAATCTTTTTGCATTCAATATGCAAATTGTTATTCGCAAAGTCAACTGTGTGTGGTTTCATATGCTATTTGCACCCGATTGTATTTCTCCAGGCAGCAGTTTGTATCAGCTTGGCCACAAAATGCACAGAATATATTGTAAATCCACTTTACAATATATTCTGTGAAGCACTTTGAGACATCTAAACGACTTGATAAGGCACTATATCAAATGTATTTATTATTATTGTTATTATTTTAACTTGCTAATGGTGGAAATAGGGAGACTGGCAAGGGGTATATTTGAGAAATTGAGCTGGGAGTAAAGAGATGCATGAGAGCTTTGATGTTCTTTTGTGTGAAATAGGGAGAGTGGGTAAAGTATCCAAAATGTTGAAAAACAGGTGACCGAGCGAGGGGTGGAGGTGAATCTTTGGAGGAGGCAAAGTGGAGGAGATGGGTCAAATAGGATCAGAAACAGGAAAGTATGGTTCCACAGAGCTGAATGAGAGAGGAGTCATGATCGAGGAAGATGGAGTGGTCAATAGTCTCCAAAGCAGCAGAGATCAAAGGCAGAAGGAGTTCTCGTTGCTGAGTGACCACTTTGTTGGTGACACTGATAAGTGCTGTCTCAGTGCTATGTGCACGGACTGAAGGGATCGAGCTCGGAGCAGACGGAAAGTGGGAGGAAAGTTGAGTGGGAATAAAGCATTCCAGGACTTCGATAGGAAGGGCATGTTGGAGATGGCTTGGTAATGGGAGAGTTTGGAGGGATTCAATGTAGGTTTCTGCAAGAAAGGGGCAATGTTTTGGAGGGGGACATTGCCGGATGTGAGAGAGAGGTTGGCTATCTTTGAAACAATTTACACAGTATTGTAAAATAATTCTTGCATTTGGTACAGCACCTTTCATTTCAGGAGGATATCCCAAAGTGCTTCACAGGATTTATATCCTGCCGCAATCGGCTGCCACATTTCACCCATAAAATACAATCAATTCACTTTACAGTATATTCTGTGAAGCACTTTGAGACGTCTCAACGACTTCATAAGATGCCATATCAAATGCAAGGATTATTATTATTATATATTATAAAGTAGTAACTGTTGTTCATTGATTGAATGCAACAGCCAATATTATGTGCACACCAATGTCCCACAAACAGCCATGGAGTGAATGACCAATTTTATTTTGGCGGATTGTTGGCCAGGACATCGGGATAAACCCCCGTCTTTTCAAATAATGCCATGAGATCCTTAATGTCCACCTGAACAGGCAGAAGAGATCTCATCTCATCCGAAGGATGGCACCTGAAACAAAGCAGCATATCCCACCACAGCAATGGAGTGTCAGCTAAGACTACATGGACTGCAAGTCCAGACGCTTGAACCCATAATCTTCTGATTGAAAGGCGAGGGTGATATCAACTGAGCCAGTCTGACATGCAAAATTGTAGTTGTTGAGAGCTTTAAACGCATTTATGAATACTGCCTTGCATTCAAATATGATAAAAAACCAATTAGAAAACCGAGTCTTCGATTACCTTTTGCATTTGCCTACAATATACAGTCAATTCACTTTACAGTATATTCTGTGAAGCTCTTTGAGACGTCTTGAAGACGTGCCAAGGCGCTATATCAAATGGAATTATTATTATTATAATTATATTTGATATAGCGCTTTTCACATCGGGAGGACGTCCCAAAGCGCTTCACAGAATATATTGTAAAGTGAATTGACTGTATATTTGTGGGCGAACGCGGCAGCCAATTGCGCACAGCAATGTTCCACAAACAGTCGTAGATTGAAAATGACCAATTTATTATTGTTTTTTCTTTTGGAGGGATTATTATTAGGTGTGTGGAGTAAGGAAACTTGCCCAAGGTTTCGCCCTCTGCCTGGAATTGAACTCAGGTCTCTCGCGAGTGCTCTAACCACTGAGCTACAGGACTCCACAAATACCTCTCTCCAGTTCATTGAAACTTTATGCAACCGGAATGAAAACTGAAAAGAAAAAAAAAAATTGCTCAGTTCTCACGAGGTTGAGAAAACCCAGATCCAGAGAGAACAGCACCTCGGAGGTCTGCACATCGGCAGGTTCTGCGAGAAGCAACGGCTCGAGGCCGACAGAGAGAGACCCTGTCCAGGTTTACCACCGACCCGTGCACTTGCACTGGCACTTGCAGAGTCGGTCGGCACGTAGCGAGTTGGGTGGGAAAATGGACCGCACGGTATGATTGACAGCTGGCGACACGGGGGGGGGGCGGGGCGGGGCGGAGTCAGGTGGTTCGTGACGCGTTTAGAGACGCGTCACTGCGTCACTGCGGCCGACGTACTGGCGTCACTGCCTGGAGACCGCACGGCGTCAGGGACACAGAGACTGAGAGAGAGGTACAATGTTATATACTATACACTGAGACACAGAGAGAGGTACAATATTATATACTATACACTGAGACACAGAGAGAGGTACAATATTATATACTATACACTGAGACACAGAGAGAGGTACAATATTATATACTATACACTGAGAGACAGAGAGAGGTACAATATTATATACTATACACTGAGACACAGAGAGAGGTACAATATTATATACTATACACTGAGACACAGAGAGAGGTACAATATTATATACTATACACAGAGAGAGAGAGAGGTACAATATTGTATACTATACACAGAGACAGAGAGAGGTACAATATTATATACTATACACTGAGACACAGAGAGAGAGGTACAATATTATATACTATACACCGAGACACTGAGAGAGAGAGAGGTACAATATTATATCTATACACTGAGAGACGGAGAGAGGTACAATATTATATACTATACACAGAGACAGAGAGAGTGAGGTACAATAGTGTATACTATACACTGAGACACAGAGAGAGAGGTACAATATTATATACTATACACTGAGAGACAGAGAGAGAGGTACAATATTATATACTATACACAGAGAGAGAGAGAGAGAGAGAGGTACAATATGATATACTATACACTGAGAGAGAGAGAGGTACAATATTATATACTATACACTGACACTGAGAGACAGAAAGAGTTACAATATTATATCTATAGACTGAGAGACGGAGAGAGGTACAATATTATATACTATACACTGAGAGACAGAGAGAGTGAGGTACAATATTGTATACTATACACTGAGACACAGAGAGAGAGGTACAATATTATATACTATACACTGAGTGACAGAGAGAGTTACAATATTATATCTATACACTGAGAGACGGAGAGAGGTACAATATTATATACTATACACTGAGAGACAGAGAGAGAGAGGTACAATATTGTATACTATACACTGAGACACAGAGAGAGGCACAATATTGTATACTATACACTGAGAGACAGAGAGAGAGAGAGAGAGGGGTACAATATTATATACTATACACTGAGAGACAGAGAGAGGTACAATATTATATACTATACACTGAGAGACACAGACAGAGAGAGATACAATATTATATACTATACACTGAGAGAGAGAGAGGTACAATATTATATACTATACACAGAGAGAGATCGAGGCACAATATATACTATACACACAGAGAGGTACAATATTATGATATACAAGACATGATGTAATATACTTTTACACACACTGTTCATTGTTATATAATAATACTTGAATTTGATATAGCGGCTGATCACGTCTTTGAGATGTCTCAATCGGTTTCACAGAGTATGGAGTCCTGTAGCTCAGTGGTTAGAGCACTCGCTTTGCAAGCGAGAGACCTGAGTTCAATTCCAGGCAGAGGGCGAAACCTTGGGCAAGTTTCCTTACTCCACACACAGCCTAATAATAATCCCTCCAAAAAACAAAAACAATAATAAATTGGTCATTTTCAATCTACGACTGTTTGTGGGACATTGCTGTGCGCAATTGGCTGCCGCGTTCGCCCACAAATATACGGTCAATTCACTTTACAGTGTGTTCTGTGAAGCGCTTTGGGACGTCCTCCCGACGTGAAAAGCACTATATCAAATGCAAAGATTATTATTATTATAGTATACTGTAATGTGACTTGACAATTTTTATTAATACGCGTTGTTCTAAAAATGTGGGTGAAACGCGGCAGCACACAGCAGTGTCTAAAGTGTATCCTCAGGATCTTCAATAGTTAAAAATGAGAAAAAAAGGCTGATCCTGATCGATACAGGTGACCTTAACATGTAAATATACAAATGTATTCTCCCAGAGACAAAGTAAGTATATATGCTGGGTATAGAGTAAAGCAGGAGGGTGAACCAGCTGGGTTTGTGTTCCTCGACCGTTTCAAGCACCCTCTGCTGGTCGTGTGTCTGTGTGGTAGCCAGTGACGTTTGCCGACACTCACCACCAAGGCTCAAACGGTAGCAGGGGTTACGCAGCCCTGGTAATGGAGGTTAATCAACACCCGTTGAACAGGCACCGGGCAGGAGAAAGCAAGAACCAGGAGCAGAAAGGCATTGTATAGCAGCAAGAAAGTTCGAAAAATAATTGGAACACAATTTAAATAAGCAAAAGGCATTCATAATTAAATGTGATTTTTTAAAAACGTTTTCAGAGGGTAATCAAATCACAGGTTCTTCAACATTAAACTCCATTATTGTTCAGTTTTTTTTGTAATTGGAAGGAAGATAAACCCGAGAACGTTTTCTGCTTGCCCCACGCAAGTGTTTGAAATTAACTTTTTTAAATCAGTGTTGTCCATCTGTGAATACACACTGTCTGCTTCATATATCCAATTCTAAACAAATATCCTGTTACAGTGACCTGTATTGATCAGGATCAGTCTTTTTTTTCTCATTTTTGACTTTTCTGTTATTAGAAACCATTTACTTATGAAGAGAAATCTCCCCTGGGCCAAACGGTCTGCAGAGAAAAGGCTTTAAATAAGCAACCATCCAATTTAAACTGCATTGATTTGATAGTTCGGTCTGGATGTAATTGTGATATTATCAAGTGAGTATATTTAGAGATTACAATAATATGACCCGAGATAAGGGATTTATAGGGAGTTAATGGTACTGAGCTGATATTGAAACAAATTTGATATCATGACATAATATAAATCACTATTTATTAAAATGAATCTAACTACTATATATCATTTTTTCGGTATTGCAATGCTCTGCCCTTGTATTTGATGTGCTACTCAGATAAATAATGCACCCCAACACTTTTTCAGGAATTTATAGGGGGGATATTTACCACTATTTTATTGTCTTCTGGTTTTAATTTATTTCTGTTAGCCTAACAACAGCTAATTTTATGAAATCAAAAACAGTTGATGAAGGCAATTCGTCGATAATTGTAAAAATGTTGTTTTAGAATAACCCGTAATAATAAAAATTGTGAATATTTAGAAACTATTAAACTAATAAACTATTATTATTTATTATAACTCACAATCATCCAAACCTAATTCTAAATGAGGATGAGTTCTACTGTCCTTTGTTCAGATGACTGAAATTTATTTTATTAAACAGGCACCGTTTCTGTGGTTTTGGAGAGAAGAAATCAAGGTGGTGCTCTGTGCCTTTCAGGACGGTGTCAGGCAGTCCCTGTGTGACACAGGTGTCTGGGTGGTAACTTTGCAGAGGCTGTCGAGCTCATCCCATGGTCCAGAATCTGGGTGGAGCAAAAGGCGAGCAGTTTTGCACAGCTATATTGCAGATTATAAACCTGAATGGTAAATAAAATGTTGGCTTATCTATAGTTATCATTTGAGTTGAATCCTTTTAATACCTTTTAAGGCAAGTATGATGTGTATAATTTTTTTGTAGATATTTAAAGTGGCAGAATGTACTGTTCTTGCGCTCTATGATGGAGAGTTCTCAAATATGAAAGGCTTGATATCAAGGTTTTTATTAAGGGCAGACTAGCTTCTTAAAACATGCTTTAATATTTTGACATGCACAAGTACAATTGTGTAGAAAGATTTGTGTTATTTTACCTGTTGGAGCCTCCATTTTCAAGACAAATTACAAGACTTGTTGTGGGCTGTGACATTTTGATGCTTAACTTTAGGCTCCTAGCACCCCGCTTCCCATTAAAATCAATGCAACATCTCTCAGCCATTGTGAGATGCTCAGAGAAGATTAATGTTTAAAACCATTTATTGTTAATAAACTATTCGATGTGAACTTCAGATTCTCACGCTGACTTGCAGCAATAACAAATAAATTAAAGAAAAAGGAAAAACTGCTTGCCACAAACTCACAGTAGGTTAATCAGCACCTGAATTTTGGGGTCTAATTAAATTGCCGATTTCTTTTAGTAAAGAAATTGGAAGGCTGAGCCTTGGGAACTCTTTTCCAATGCAATGTCAACAATAACTGTCACTCATATAGCACCATGCATGCAAGAAGAACGCCTCAAACGGGAGCTTGAGCTAGGTGGGAGATAGAGCGGTGGGAGTGAGTAGAGGGCTGAAGGCACAATCAAAGAGATGGGTTTTAAGAGTTGAGAGGAAGGAAGCGATGTGGGATTTTGGAAGAGGGTTTTGAAAAATGGGAACAGAGTGGTTGAAACGTCACTCATCAGTAGTGCAATCTATTTTTGGAGCTCTCACAGGTCAACCTGAAATGTATGACCTATTTCCGGTCACTGGAAGGAATGGCTTCTAAACTAATCTTGTTAGAAGTCAATTCATATTATTCTATTATACCATAAGCGTTGTCTGAGGATATTACTCAGTTTAAAGGATCAAAACATTCTTTGGCCAGATGAGGGCAGCATAGCCCAAAATGTCATCAAGCTTTTGTGGTTAAGATCACTTCTTCTCAGTGAAATATTATAAAAGTATTGATACAATAAATAAATTTACACATAAAATTTATCTCTGATAGTTCTCTCTAAAACTAAATGCTCGGCTATATTCACATATTAGATCTTGCTCAAATATGTATTGAACGGTAATATTATTTTCAAGCAAGTAACACATAATAACGGCATAAATAATCATTATATAGGAAAACGTAAACGTAGGAAACCAGGAACAGGTGGAGGTCATTCAGCCCATCAAACCTGTTACACCAGTGTATTAGATCTTGGCAGATTAAATAAACATTGTAATAAATAAACTTGGTTGCTCACTCCATGGCTGTTTATAGGTCATTGTTGTGCACGACTGTCTGCCCCGTTTCACCTACACAATAATAATAATAATAATAATAATAATCCTTGCATTTGATATAGCGCTTTTCACGTCGGGAGGACGTCCCAAAGCGCTTCACAGAACACACAGTAAAGTGAATTGACTATATATTTGTGGGCAAACGCGGCAGCCAATTGCGCACAGCAATGTCCCACAAACAGTCATAGATTGAAAATGACCAATTTATTATTGTTTTGTTTTTTGAAGGGATTATTATTAGGCGTGTGGAGTAAGGAAACTTGCCCAAGGTTTCGCCCTGCCTGGAACTGAACTCAGGTCTCTCACTTGCAAAGCGATATAAACAATACACAGTCAATCCACTTTACAGTATATTCTGAGCACTTTGAGATGTCTCAACAACATGATAAGGCGCTACATCAAATGAAAAGATTTTTATTATATATTATAATTATGATTAATAATAAGAATTCTTGCATTTGATATAGCAACTTCCACATCGGGAGAATGACTCGGGATTTTTTGCAAGTGAATGGGGCAGCCAGTTTGCTCACAGCAATGTCTCACAAACAAACAACTGCAAATTTTATCTCATTTTATCTGGGATGTTGTTGGCCAGGACATCGGGAGAAATTCCCTTTTCTTCTTGAATAGTGCATTAGGTGCAAGTTTGCATCAGCAGAGAAATAAAATACAAATCTAGGTGGGTTATATTTTTATAAATAAGGCATCGTCACATATCCCTTGTTGAATAGGCATTCAGTTTAGTAACCTTTTTAGAAATGATATTACTCTATTTTAAGAGGGTACAAGTGTGAGAAACCAGGATGATATCAGGTGTTTGGAATCTAAGTAAGGTTAAAGAATTTAAGCTTGTTCTCTTTGAAAAATAAGACATTCAAAGGAGTCACCCAATTGAAGTTTTCAAGATAGTGAAAGGAAATGATAAAATTTGACCTGATAAGTGTTCAATATATTGTAGTAAAGCTTTGAAACACTAGGGGGACACAAGTTACAAATTAGCAAATTGGAAGTAAGAAAATCAGGCAGATTTTTTTACACACAAAAATTAATGGTTTTGTGGAGCGCACATTTTTTCTTAGCCTTTCCTTGGCCTAAAATTCATACGTTTTGAAGTTTAATGCAGAAAAGTGTGATGATACATTTTGGCAGGGAAAATAAAGAGATGAAATATACATTAAATGGCAAATGCTTTCAATCTCTATGACCCAGACCTATGGAACTCGCTGCATCAAATCTTCAGTCTTGCCCCCTTTATGCCTGTCTTCAAATCACATTTGAAAACTTTCCTCTTTGACTGTGCCTCAGGCCAGCTTCCATCTCGTTCCAGCTCGGTATTGAAACACAGTGCTATACAGGGCTCCAAAGTGCTATTTGCATGTAGAGTGGTATATAAATTCAAGTTGTTGTTGCTATTGTTGTAAATTTTTAAAAGGAGTGGAAGAGCAGAGAGATTTAGATGTACACAAATAAATAAAAGTGGAAGAATAATTTGATAAAGTTCTTAAAAAGAGGCATAAAATAGAAAAGCAAAAAGCTAAACTTTTATAAGTCATTGGTTAGGCCACAGTTAGATTATTGTGTTCATTTCTGGGCATCCCACTTTACGAAGGGTATCCAGACTGCTGAGAAGAGGGTATAGAGAAAATTCACCAACATGATGCCAGGGTTGGGAAGCTCGAGACACTGGGCTGTTTTCACTAAAACGAAGAAGATTGAGGGAAGATCTGGTAGAATTATTCAGAATTATGAGGGGTTTTGGTAAGAAAAAATAGGGAAAAGCTAATTCCACTCTTCAGGGAACGGGTAAAAAGAAGAAAAAATTTAAGATCATTAGCAAAAACGAAAGGAGAGTTTAGGAGATTTTTGGTTACATAGAGGGTTAGGAGGGAAAGGAATCATCTACCATTAATTGTGATTGAAGCAGAATTGGTTGTTAGTCGATTGGCCGATCGCATTCCGGGGGTAATAATCCCTCGAAAATAAACATTTAGTCACTCAATCCACGACTCTTTGTGGGACGCAACTGTGCGCAATTAGCTGCCGCGTTTCGTCCACAAAATACACAGTCAATCCACCTTCACAATATATATTTTTAAGCGCTTTGAGACATATCAACGAAGTGTTAAAGTGCTGTATCAAATGCATGGATTATTATTATTATTAATCCACAATAGCTTTTAAAATGGAATGAAACAAGCATTTGAAAAGTGAAACATATAAGAGGATATGGGAAAAGGGAGGCGAGTGGAATTAATTAGGTAGCTCTTACAGACCGCAGGCGCAATAAGCCAATTGGCCTCCTGCATGAAAAATGCTACTATTGTGAGGCCTTTAGCCTGAGCAAGAATAGTGCCTTAGTCAGGTGCTCACAGACATCCATAACACTAAATCCTTTACCACCTATGCAAATATCCCTCCCTCAGTTTTCACGGAGTATCTGTTACTGAGAGATGCTACAATTATATAACATTTGTGATGATACTCAGCTATTTGGGCAGGTGAATAATTTGAGGAGGATAAATAGGATTCAGGATGTTGTAAACTTATTTAGCAGATGGTTTTTAAGGGCAGCAGATGGATTTTATGCTGTGTGTATAATGCTGGGAGCAAAGCCGATGTGGGGCCGGAAGCCTGATTTATATTACTTGCTATATATGTGTATATATATTTCCAACACAGAGTTTACACAGTGCCATAAAAGCCACAGATACCTGATTTTCAGTGATCTCTGCATCTATAACATAGCACAATCCAATGTCAGCATTTGGTGTTTGATGCTTAATATTGTAAAATATCAGCTCATACGATCAGCTTTTCTGTAACATTAAACAGCCATCTGTCATTAGTTAAGAGCTCTGTAGGACTAGTACAATTTGCAAGTTTATGTTACGAATCGCACTCTTCCTGACAAAATCTCCTCCAGGTGGTGTGAGAAGCAGGGCCCCAGGGTGTTTTATACTGCCGAAGAGCCCTACTGCACTCTTGGGGACAAATCACTACCAAACGTGTATTATAAATGAAACACCAATGTTGTTAAAATGTAAGGTAATATGCTTTGGAACTAGAAACAGTAAACATGTACAGTCTATAGACCATGGTACTGATTCCATGTTACTGGCCAAAGAGCCTCAGAAAGAAAATCAGTTACAAGATGTGTGGGCCTGATCTCTCCGCATGCACACTTTATCTTCAGCTCCCTTCTCGACTCTACCCCCTCCTCGCTCCCTCCCTTCCCTCCCCTCACCCTGACCATTTCCCCCCTCCTCGCTCCCTCCCTTCCCTCCCCTCACCCTGACCATTTCCCCCCTCCTCGCTCCCTCCCTTCCCTCCCCTCACCCTGACCATTTCTCCACTGCTCGGGTCCCGACCCAACTGTCCAACGCCTTGGGACGTCCTCCCGACGTGAAAGGCGCTCTGTAAATGAAATCTTGTTGTTGTTGTTATCTATTGCTCCAGACCCAAGCTCTCCACCTCGCTCCTCCATTTTACGTTCTCCTAATTTAGTTTATTTTTCTCTTTCTTCCCTGTGCTTTATACGTTTTTTCTCTACTTTCAGTTTTTAAAATTTCATTTTATTTCCTGTATGTTTACATTTTAATATGTGATTTCTCCTGGTCAATATTGCTTTTCTAATCCAAATAATTCAAATTAAGTTGATTCATTGTTTGTGTGGGGAATTTGTTGCCACAGAGTAGCTGCCACATTTTGCCACATGCTTCATCATTCTGTATCATTTGCAAGTTTTCTTGGATCACTTTTTTTGACTAAGTTATTAGATTAGGTTTTGTTTATCTTGTGATTCAGATGAATATTAAGAAACGCTTCTCTATCCCAGTTGCTATTTAATGATAATAATAATTAATCCTTGCTTTCGTTTTAAATGTCGCAAAGCACGTCACAGGATTTACTGTGAGATGAACAGACTGTATTTGTAGGCAAACACAGTAGCCCAATTGCGCACAGCTAAGTCCCACAACCAGTCATGAAAAAAAATGACTGATGTTTTATTTGGGGGATCACTGACCACAGGAGAAAGTCTCTTCTCTTTTCGAGAAATGCCAAGGTGTCTTTAACATCAATCTCAACAGGCAGACGGGATCTCGGTTTTAATGTCTCATCTGGAGGACCGAACCTCCAACAATGCAAAACACCCCACCCCAGCACTGCATTAGCGTGTCAACTTACATTAGGTGAGTTCTTGTCCTATTATGGGGCTTGAACCCACAACCAGAGACTTGTAGCTTTCAACTGAACCAGGCTGACATTTAACTATGACCTACTGAATTATATTTAAAAATGTTCCCAGAATTGTGCATTTTAAAAACAAACTTGTTATTCCATGTCTTTAGGACCAACCAAGGCTGCTTTTGCTGGTGTAAATGGCATCATTATACTAATTTGTCAGTGTGAAGTATTTTGTGAAGCACTCTAAAGATGACTCAGAGCACAGGTACAGCAGATGAATAGTATTGTATTGTCCGAATGCTTACTCTGACAAACAGTGTGGAGTCCTGTAGGTCAGTGGTTAGAGCACTCGACTCGCAAGCAAGGGGTGAAATGTTGGGCAAGTTTCCTTACTCGACACGCCTGTTTACTTAGCAGTAAGTAGGAACCTGGTTGTTAGTCGATTGGTGGATCGCTTTTCCAGGGATAATAACCCCCTTCCCCCCACCCCCCAAAAAAAAAACGATAATAATTTTGTCACTCACCCCACGCCTGTTTGTGGGACACTGCTGCGCGCAATTGGCTGCCACGTTTTGCCCACAAATACACAGTCAATTCACTTTACAATATATTCTGTGAAGCGCTTTGAGACGTCGAGAAGACGTGAAAAGCGCTGTAACAAAAAAAATGCAACTATTATCCTTACTGACAGACTGATTGTGCTCTATAGGAGCCAATGAAATTTTGAATAAAACCATGAATTCTGTGATGTGGTTTGGATACGCAACTGGTATTCAACTTTGCATTTGACCTTGTTTATCAAATGCCAGTATGTTTAGCTATTCCTCATCACAGCAGAGAGCAAGGAGTTTCAGTTATTTTTAACCTGTGGGCATTCAGACAGGCGACAGCGATTAGATTTTGTCTAGTCAATTTGAAATGTATCTTATCAGATGCACTTTATAGAAAAATTAATCTGCAAAAGCAAATGCAATAAAAAATACCAGATGCCAAAATCTGCAGTTTACATTGTTTGTCAGACCAACAGATGGGATATTTTTCAACCACTGATCACGACTCTACAAAGCACATCTGTCTAAGGTGTAAAGAGCTGAGAAGAGCAGCAGTAGCTAGCTATTCAAGGGATATATTTGCATAAGCTCTTCTTTAAGGTTTAATATTGACAGATTTAGATGTGTCAGTGGATTTCAATGGTATTTCAGCTCCTCGGATGGTAGATTAACTGTTTGGTAACTGCGCTGTTATTTTGCAAAACCTTCAGAGGAGCTTGAGATTGAAGCCAACAATTGCAGGATTCCTTTTGCAGGGGAAGGAAAACAAGAATTCTCCTTGATTCAAGGATGGCAGTGCCCGAGTACTGGGATGAGTCTGCCTTTAGTCACCCTCTGCCCTCCCTCATCCCAACCCTCCCCCCACCACGCTTGGGTCCTGATCTATGACTGTTCAGCTGCTTGGGATGCCTCCTGACGTGAAAGGCGCTTTATAAATGTAATTTTGTTGTTGCTGTCTATCATCTCATTGGTGAGGGAACCAAAGGGACTGGAAGACAAAAGGGAAATTATTTAACGGTAGAAACCTTTTCTTCTTTGCATTAGGGTTGTTTTGAACAAAAATATGTCGTCCTTTTCTGGTGGGAAACCAAAATCAATCCAGAAGAAGAAAGCGTCTGTGTCTGCACCAGCTGGATCCACCATTAAACCACACCCAAGGCCGAGTGACCGGCTTAACCCCAAAACTATTAATCCAGTACGTTTTCACAGTTTTCCATTAATTGTTAGGTATAATCTTTGTATATTGGCAATAGAATTTCAAATTGATTAGAGATAGATTGCTTGCTGTCATATTAAAGTTATTTGCATTCCACCCATAGCCAGATGTATGTGGTGCTGAATGATGGGAATTCTGTTCTGATAAGCCCAGGTGTTGATTGTGGATTCCCATAGGTCCGTGTGAAACAGATTTGGTTGCCAACAGGATTTGATATTTACAAGTCCTTTGTGGCTCCTGTTTGCATTCCAGGTTTTTTATATATTTTTAATGGCGTAGCCATAAAGTGAAACAAACCATTCTAACAACCAAAGGGTTTCCATGCCATTAGTGGCCTCCATGAGAGACTGATCGTCAACTGTGACGGGAATATTCAGCCTTTTATCTCTGTAGAAAATGTACTGAGCTCAGAATGAATACAAAATTGAGCCTCCAGTTGCATTAATAAATGGAACTCAGAGCTGCTTAATATGAAAGGACTTATTGCTTAGAATCTATTTTAATATGGTTTCATGATGTACTATAAAATATAATTTCAATGCATTTCAAATTACAAAATGTCTAGTACAAAATGACAGTGTGTATTGTAATTATTGTTAAGAGCACCATTACCCTTGACCAAGATATTGCAAACAATGAATTGAAAAATTTGAAACAGTCCCACGTATTTTTTAATGCTACAAAATCAATATAATACACTTAGTGCACTTAGAGCTGCTTTGCTTTTAATATTTTTGATATTATTTCAACCCTGCTTCATTTTAAAAGGAAACCATTTAAGTGTAATGTCTTGCTGCTAAATTTCAGTACAGCAGTTTTCCTAAATCGTTTACTTATTATTTGTTGTTGTTGTCATTGTTAATAAAGCATACTCAAAATTCTTAGTAACAATTGACCAGGGTTGTCTTGGCTTTTGATGTTTTGACGCAGTTACTGACTTTGGTGATAGCATATTGAGGGCATTTGAGATATAGGCCAATGTATCATTTGACTAGAGTTAAAATTATATTTTTTCAACAAGTTGTAAAGTTATTCACTACCTTGAGCAATTGTGTAATATATTGAGGGAATGCTTCTGGATGTGATAATTTAGATTTGACGTGCTAATTGTTTTTTTATTGCAGTTCAGTAATCCTTTGAGGCAACAATCTACATTTGCTGCAGTGTATGCTAAAGGCGAAGTTCCCTGCAGGTAACTTGAAGAACAAGATTGGGATGGAAACTGCTGGATTTCCTGGTAGCTGCTGTTTTTTTACTCTTAAAAGCTGGCATTTCAGTGCCGTATCACAGCTTAACTCACGAGTTATTTCATTCAGAAAGTTTGAAGAGCACATTAGCTAACTTAGGATAACAAAACACCAACACAAAAATATCCCATTTAATAAGGACCAGGGATTTGTAAATGATCATGTTCTTAAGGTTATAGTCATAGTTTTAAAGGGTAAGAATTTTGATTAGTAGTCTTAAATTCAGTCTTAATTTGGAAGTCAGTTTTCCACAGTAATATTTCATGCTGTATGAAAAATTAACCTCCAAATTTAGACTGATTTTAAGAATTTTCCAAATTTTTTGCACAATCCTAAATTTTTGCTAAGGCTATTAGAGATCTTGGGGCTCAGAAATCCTTAAGTGGTCCTTACTTGTAGTCTGAGAGATTTACTCTGGCATTGATTAACATCTATATTCTCTATATTAGATATATAACCTGCTTTCCCTCCGTGGTTTTGCCCACACAGATTGTTTCATGGATCAGTTAGCCACAGACTTCAATGGGAGCGACCACCAGAGACTATTGCCTTTGATCCTCTTCTTATTAATTTAGCTGAGGTGAGACAATCCTTGAATTCACAACACTTTAACTGGATATTTAATTATATTTGGGAGAGTTTTTTTTAACTTTGCCCACAAAAGTAATTTGAATGAATTAATGTAAAAGAATACAATAATACAGGCAATTCTGGAGTGCAGCGCTACCCAGGACAAGTATTCTTTTAAGTAGCAAAATGTTTGTACCCTTCCTTTAGAATCCAAACCTTACAACTTCAGTCTCAGATTTTGCTGTAAAAATTATATAGGGTAACATTAGCATTGCAAAACATGTCTTTTATTTGAGTTGCTCCTTTTTTTTGTTAAGCCCTCATAACTGATATAACCAACTCTGACCTGGAATTAAAACGTGTTCAAGGTGAAAAGCTGTGAGAATTGCACTGTTGTCACCTGACACCAAAACAATAGTGACTTATCCTCCATATTTATATTCTGGTGGCTAAGAAGCACAGAATGTTCTTGTTCTTTTCAATCAAAAAATATAATGATTTTAATACAATAATTAATGATTGCTCAGCAGCTTTGACCACCATGTAGTTTAGCTGCACACACTAGGAAGGTCCCAGATTCTATAATTTGGCTGTCCTGAGTTAGCTGATAAGAATCAAAGCCAGAATGATGGGACCTATGATTGACACTGGATTCTGGGAGCAGGGGCCTTGCTCCTGATTGCTATTCCGTAACCTTTGCTGGAGGGGCATTTGCATGGACCATAATGACTGTAAAATATATATGTATTCTAATATTTAGAATTAGGTGATGTCTCTGTGGAATATACGTTTTGAAGGCATTTAAGAAAACTATACAAGTGAAGCCTCACAAATACTATTTAATTAATCAATGATCATACCTCTTTGACACACTTCCAACATTTTGTATACTTTTGTAATGGAGTTTGTAATAGACATCTGCTTATAAAGTGTATCAGTATAAGGACCTTGTAAAATACAATACACTTCTGATATGCCTGGGTATCTTGTTTGACCCTGAACTGTCCTTTCTCCCCCACATCCGCGCCATGACTGGAACTGCCTACCACAAACCTCCGCAATATTGCCAGACTCCGTCACTGCCTCACCCCTCAGACTGCTGAAACCCTCACCCATACATTCGTCACCTCAAGGCTTGATTACGGGAACTCCTTCCTCATCGACCTTCCCAACTCTTCCCATCACAAGCTGCAGATCATCCAAAACTCTGCAGCTCGTGTACTCTCACACACCAGGCTCCGCAACCCCACCCTCGCCCGACTCCACTGGCTCCTCATCCCCCAGAGGATCGAGTTCAAGATTCTCGTCCTCACCTTTAAGGCCCTCCTACCTCTCTGACCTGCTGACTCCCTACGAACCTGCCCGCTCCCTTCGTTCATCGGGCTCCAGCCTGCTCCATGTCTCCCGCCTGACCCGCCCTACCATCGGTGACCGGGCTTTCAGCCTCTCTGCCCCCACACTCTGGCACTCCATCACACAGTCCTTTTGCATCGCTTCCTCCCTTGCCTCCTTCAAGGCCGGTCTCAAGACCCTTCTCTTCGACTGTGCCTTCAGCCTCCCTCCCACCTCTCTGCCTTCCCTACACCTCCCCCATGCTCGGGCCCCGACACCTGACTGTTCAGCGGTTGGGATGTCCTCCCGACGTGAAAGTCGCTCTATAAATGTAATTTTGTTGTTGTTGATAACTCAGCCCTGTCTTAACTTGTCACTAGCACTTAAGCCATCATGCTGTCAATATCCAGGCCATATTTATTTATGTATTTATTCAGATGCCTAACTCCCGACTCGTGATACCTGTCACTGAGCCCTTTTCCCTAGGAGTGATGAGTTATCAGGAGTTTACTGTAATGTGCTGATATAACGTTAGCTTTTGTGACAATTTGATGAGTTGTGTTTGAAAGCAAAACTTTGCTGAACTAAGGAGTAAATTATATAGGAAAAAGCAAATCTTTAGTTATATATAATCCTTATGTTTCCCTACATAGGGATTAAGAGAAACTAAGCACCCTTACACATTTGTGTCGAAAGAGGGATTTAAGGAACTGCTACAGGTTGAAAATGCTACTGAAAAAGCTATTCCGTTGGTTCCCAAATTGATTCCAGTGCTAAAAGCTGCTCTGGTAGGTATCCCTTAGAACTTTCACATGAAGTTAATTAATAGCAAATTACAAATTACTCTCTGGATTTTTATATTTTAAGAGGTTTGGCGAAAGGGAAGAGAAAGAGAACTGGATAATTGGATTTGGATAAAAATCTGCCAGTATCTAATAAACCAGTGAAACAGGCTTAATGCACTTTCTTATCATGGCCGAGAAGCATGGAGTTGCATGTGAGAGAGGGTGTTATTGTGCTTGTGTGATGGAGAGACCGCCAACATTCCAGCTCCTGATCACAATTCAGCTATCCCTGGTGCAAAGTGTGCATGTGTGGATGTCCAGAAAAGAAGAGGTTTAAGCTAGATTGTGATGCTCCAACTGTGAATAATGAACACTTGGGGACAGTGACTGTCCCTGTCAAATTGTACACCAATGAGAATTGGCATGTGCAGGAGGAGGAGAGAAAATTGACAAGGAAATACATGTGCATCATTAAATGTGGTGCCTGATCAATTTACTGTTTTTAGCAGGAGAATTACAATTTAAAATAGCAATAATATAGCGCTTTTCACGTCTTCTAGACGTCGCAAAACGCTTCACAGAATATACTGTAAAGTGAATTGACAGTATAATTTGTGGGCGAAACGCGGCAGCAATTGCGTACAGCAGTATCCCACAAACAGTCATGGATTGAGTGATCAAATTTTAGCTTTTTTTGAAGGATTATTATCCCCGGAAAAGCGATCCGCCAATCGACTAACAACCGGGTTCCTACTTACTGCTAGGTAAACAGAGGCGTGTGGAGTAAGGAAACTTACCCAATGTTTCACTCTGCCAGGAATAGAACCCAAGACTCTCTCTTGCGAGGCGAGTGCTCTAACCACTCACCTAAGGACTCCTCATAGTACATTTGAAAGTTTATTTCAGGCAATTAAACATAAAAACATCAATCCGGGTGCAGTTAAATTGGCAAAGCTTGCTGTGTTTGTTCCAGAGGTGGCCCTTTGGAGTGGCATACGGCTTTATTTAAAAGCTGCATTGGGATAGACCACATCAAAACTAAGACTACCTTCACTGCCATTCAGGGATTTAATATATCATCTAAACAAGAAGAAAGTCATGGTAGATCAGATTGATCTGAAGATGAACTTTATTCATAGGAAAAGCACAAGTTATTCCTTTCTCTCTTTCCATTACCTTCTCCCTTCCCCATTCTATCTTTCCTTTCATGTATTTAATTACAGAATGGTGACACCTAGACATCGCAGTACCAGAGTAACTGCAATGCAACTTAATATTTTCTAACCATCAGACATTTTCTGATGGCTGCAGAATGCCAGTGCAGTTCAGCTTGGTGATGTTTCAGCAACTGCTCAGTCTGCTTGCAGCCAAAAAATAATACAGGGCAGTTGTTCACACTCCACAGCCACCATTTAAACTGGTGAAGCTGCCTTCACAAGTACAAAGTGAAACACTTCTTCAAGTGAGTTTCAGCATCTCCACATCGTAATGCGCCAGACATTAGAACAGCCACGCTGTAATGCTATGCACGATATGCACCATAAGATTAGTTTTAGGTGATTGGGTCATTCGGCACATCAATTCCACTCTCATTTTATTAATTCATAGTTCATTTAGCTCTTTTTAATCCTGGGGGCAGTATTTTCCACATTCCTCAATCCTTCAATCCTGATTTGCTTGTTAGCAATCTTGCCCCAAGTCAGAGGTTGTAGGTTTAAGCCATCTCGACTGACATTACAGTGTAACACTGGGGAGAGCCTACATTGTCAGAGGTACCATCCTTCAGATAAGACTGAGGTCCTCTCTTCCTCTTTAAATAGACATTTAGAAAGAATGTACAGCACGGTAACAGGCCATTCGGCCTAAGCAGTCTGTGCCGGTGTTTATACTCCACACAAGTCTTCAACTATTCCTCACTCCCTCTTGTAACCCTTCTGTTCCCTTCTGAAGGTCTCGCTTCCTTTTGAATGCATCTCCACTATCTGATTCCAGGATACTCACTCACACAAAACTCTGTACCCCCATCACACCAGTGCTTGCCAGACTCCACTGGCTCCCAATCACTAAATGGATCAACTTCAAGATCCTCTCAGCCGTTTTCAAATCACTCCACCACCTGCTGCCTCTGCTCGGCTGGCTCCAGCCTCCTTTTTGTCCCTCGTGCCCTCCGTTCCACCATCGGTGGCCGTGCCTTCAGCCACTATACCTGGAAACGCTGGAACTCTCTCCCTCAATCCCTTCGCCTGCCCCCTTCCTCCCCACATTCAAATCCCGCCTAAAGAGCTTCCTTTTTGATTGTGCTCAGGGTCACCTCCCCCTTGGCTTGTTGTCAGACTCTACAACTGATGCACTCTGGGAGTCTACACCGTGTGAAGGGTGCTATATAAATGCAAGTTGTTGTTGATTCAATCACCTCTTCAACAGTGAGTTCTACAATCCCACTATCCTCTGCCTAAATTCTCTTTAAGATCCCTTAGTCGACATCTTATATTTCTGTCCCCTGTATACGGACTCCCCAAACAGCGGAAAAGCCTATTTATGTTGACCTTATCGAACCTATTTATAACTTTAAACATTTTTATTGGGTCTTCCCTTAAATGCCTCTTCTCTAGTTAAAAAACAGCCTAACCTATCCAAAAATATCTTTATTTTTCCTGTGAATTTCTTGCATTTTCCTACATTAAACTTTGCTTGCCATCTGTCTGCCCATTCTGCTAGCCGCTATAGGTCTTCTGGCATTCTTCTGCAGTCTCCTATATGGTTTACCATGCCTCCCAGTTTGATGTCATCGGCAAATTTTGACACCACATCTCTTACACCTGAATCTAAATAACTTACGTACATGGTGAACAATAGCGGTCTTAACACGGATCCCTGTGGAACACCACTTCCTACTGCTTGCCGGCCAGGTCGTATTCGAAAAAAGAAAGAAGTTGCACCTGGTGTCCCGACCAACAATCACCCAGGTAAACTGGTCATTCATTTCATGGCTGTTTGTGAAACATTGCTTTACACAAATTGGCTGCTATGGTTGACTACAAATAGTCATTATTACACTTTATAGAAAACTCTGAAGTGCTTTAAGATGTTCTCAACATGATAGGTCCTGGATCAAATGCAAGGATTATTTTACATTTCACTCATCAGGTCGCTGCCAACATCACGTTCTGTACTCATACACATGTAGAGCACAGGAAATGATATCAATGGCAACCTGATGACCTAGAAATCTGCCATTTTGGTTTCTTGTGTGCTTGCTGGTGTTTGTCTTTCTCATTCATGCACAGAAAATGCAGAAGTGCTGACTGTCAATTGCAGCCTGGTTTAGTGCTGGTTGGGTTGTTATGGAACCTTATTACCACATTAAACAGGACTCTATAGCATTGCGTTTTTTAAAAGAATAATGTAGGGTTTATTATCTGGTATAGACTACTAACATTTATGTAGCATATGCCACTATTTTATTTCACATTGCTGCATCATCAGATCAAACTGAGAGTACAGCTGGTAATGAATGTCAGATTAGCCAGTAGTTGGCTAAATGGTAGTAGGTTTTCAAACCCAGAGGAGAAATGTTTGATTTTGTCACTTTGTTCCTTAAAGGCACATTCGGATGCAGAAGTATTTGAAAGGGGCTTGCAAGCCCTGGTGCAGCTGAGTGGAGTTGTTGGCCCTACACTTAATGACCACCTGAAACATCTGTTGACTAGTGTAAGTATCTGAAATGACAGTTATGAGATGATCTAGCTGTGTGAGGTTTGGGGACTTTCATCATATTTCAGCAAAATTATGCAGATTTCTCCAGTAAAGTAATGAAAATACTTTCAAATGAAGGATCAATTCATGCACTTAAAATTAATTCTGATAAAAATCAAATTCTCCTGTCATCCGTTATCCTGAACACTACTGTGATTTTGTATTGGAGTATGTGAAGGATAAACAACTGAGGAAAAGTACCTATCTCTGATATGATGCTCCACCTCCCTTGTTTTAAATTCCTTTCCCATTGTTTCAAAGTCTTGATTTGGATAACTTAAGAGTTATTTAATTTTGACAAATTGCTTTATTTGTTGCTTAATTGCAGCCCATGACGCAGACTGCCTCTATCAAAATGAACTCTTAAGCAAGGCGATTATGCACTTTGACTTTGGTAGTTCATAAAGTGATTATATGATTTCAGAGCAGATAAATGTAAAAAGGGAAGGAATTGGTGTGATGACTTCTCCAATTTTACGACCGCCTTTTGTGGATTATATAATTCACATTATGTGAATAAGGTCAATCACATAAAAAGAAAGATTTTTTTTGGAAAACATATTTTAAATATCATTTGATAGTTCTTCAAGTTTCCAATTTCCAAGCATAAAACTTGCTTTAGAAACTTGCTTTAGGAAGTTTTCCTACCTTTTTTTTGCACTGCAACTTACACTGCTGTTTTTCAAACCCACTGAGGGCAATTGTAATGCATTCGTTACTGACCCATTTGAGATCAACCAATGCATCACTGACAAGGTACTGAAGTGTGTCTGGATGGCTGATTATCAGTGGTGAGTTTATCCAGAGCATTTTCTTTTATAAGGCAACCTCTTGGTCTTATTAGCTTTCAAAGATCCACATTGCAGAATTGTCCTTAATCGATAAATACTTCTTATTCACTGTGTACAAAATGCACCTGCAGGTTTTGAGTGGAGAACAGAGCCAGCCTGCCTGAGCCAACTCTTCCAGTAGCACTGAGCTTGTGCTACTACATTTTGTCATTTTCTGCAGAGGCTGGGGGTTGAGTTATGTAAAGTTGTCAAGTCATCTGTGCACAGATGTTTAGTGGATGTCATAACAGTTTCTTTCAGTAGGATAGAATAGGATTAGTCTAGGAAAATTCATTTTGTTTAATTATCTTTGTGACTAAATTAATTTTTTTTGTTATGGGCTTTTTATCTCATTTGGGGAATTGTCATTCTGTTCGAAAAGGTTAAATTCCGAAAACCTTTTTTTCTTGACAGTTGTCAAAAAGGCTGATGGACAAAAAGTTTAAGGAGGAGATTACGGTGGCTCTGCAGAGATTAGAACAGCAAGGAGGAAGAGTAAGTTTCCTTCAGAACTATGTCTCCCTTCCTCGTTGTGGTCAACATTTTTTAAAATAATTAATATGAGGCACGTGGAGTTATGGATGTGAAAGGAACTCCCAGGTTTCTTTCAGTCTAGTCATGATGTGAGCATGCATTTTAATAACAATCATTCAACTCATCTTGTTATGCATCTTTGAAATCCTGAGCCACTATTTCACTGTGACTGTTGCAGAAACCTTTCAAACCATATTGGTGTAAATATTCAGAATGCAATTCCTTAAGGAACCATGCACACAAAATCAGCTGTGAATTGATGCTAAGAATCAGACCACATCAGAGAGACATTGCTGGGAATGACTGTCATGCTGAATTGAACTCATCACATTAACCTACACTGAATCTGCTGTTCCGTCATATGCAGGGCAATTTGATAATTTTCTTTCTTCTCTGAGGCAAGATTTTGTTACTTTGGCAATCGTTTAGATAATTCTATATTTTGTATGTCTGCGACATTCTGGATTATTAAAACTAAAGTTGGTTAGCAAGCTAGTTCTGTCTGTTTGGAGAGACTGCTGCTTCTGTTTTTGCAGCTGATTTAATCACAACTGTTCCCACAAACATATCTATAAATTCTAGTATAGATTTTCTTTCTCAGATGTTTGGCAACTTGAAATACCAGATACATTGCTGAAGGATACTGTAATAGTAGGCACAACATAATTCATGTTTACTTTTCTGGCAAAAGCTGTTTTCCTTTTCTAAGCTAGAACTAAATTCAACTTAAAATAAGTTGTACTTTCTAATTTCAATGAGAATATTTTATAACATTCATCACAGATATGAAGAACATTGCATAGCAGAGCACTTTAGCATGCATATACTGCTATTGACTTTTATTTATTTATTTATTTATTGCTATTATTTGTGGGGAAAATGTATATGTTCAGTACTGGTTACACAAGTGAGACATCATGTGGTCTTGAAACAGATATCAGAGAATATCCAAATGGTTTTAGCACTATGTCTTTTATTAGTAGCAGTTATAAATCTGCCTTCAGATCACAATGCAAGTGGGTACACAGAACCAATATAGATTCTATGGAGATTTGAAGAAATACCCATTATTCACTGACAGTTCTGCAATGACAACCATCAATTTATGGGAAAAGCTAGATGGTTGATTCGGGAGCTTGAGTTCATTTTATCTTTTATCTGTCCTTCACTTGGGACAGAACTTCATAAAAAGCGCTTGTTAATCAGTCATATTCAAAGACTTTTTTTTGCACTGAACCAAACGTGATGTTTATTTTAGTATAGTAAGATATGACATATTACAATCATAATTTGTTGGATAATAAGACAGTTTTAATTTTTTCTCCATCCTCTCTCTTTAAGAAGAAAGGGCAAATGCATCCTGCATTTATATTCTTGCAATCAAAAATTTGTATACACAATAAACTATGAAACTGATTTTTTTTTTAGCGTGCATATCCAAAAGTTTATATTCATGCCCGTTACCTGTAATCAATCTTTTAAAACAACGTTCAAACATTTCAAAAGTTGTCGTACTTTCTTTTACTTGAATACATTTGTTTCTGATTTGTAAACTTTTTATAATAAATGCTGCCAGTAACAGCCCCTATCGGTTCTGTAATATATACATCCTGTTACCAGAATTCCCCTGGAACTTATTTTAAATAATTTGGTGAATACTACCACAGGTACGATATGTAGGAATCCAGTAATCCAGTGGAAATGGTTGCATTCTGAACCAATTTTGTGAGTTACAACGTGTAACAAAGAAATAAATAGAAATTACAGTTTGGTTTTGAAAGTATGTAAAATGTTATAATCGTGTAACACTTAGGCACAGAGATTTTCCCAGAGTGTCCACTCACACAATTTTTGCACTTTAAAATCTACTTTCACAAGATTGAAACAAAGTCCCAGTGTGACTGAGCACCACAGGAGATCCAACAATTACTTTCAACAGGCTGTATGTTTTTAAATCTCAGGAGATGTTTCAAACAATTTGCTTTCAAATGTTTTATGGTTGTTTGGTTCATCTAAACTCATTCTATTTTAAGTGAGGAATGGAAGAGACCCTCGTTTTATTTGACACCTTAGTCCCCAGCATCATCCGAATTTTTTAAAATAAATTGCACAGTTCAATTTTCTGCATGTTCACAGAATACAAATTGGAACCTGGTTTTATTTTACCTGATTGCTTAATCTATTGAAATTAGAATTGACAGTTGTGTGGTGACGTGACCTGTTGATGTACATTGAGTTGCACCTTAGTGTTGTGGAATGTGGGCTGTAATCTGGAATGCTCATTTAGTAAATGGCATTTCCTCAGGCCTGAGAGCAAGCGGTCTGTCTGAGGCCATTGAGCGGACAGTCTACTTACACTCACTGTTTCTTAAACAAAAATGATGCTGGGTTCAGAAGTCACTGGGTGAGCGATAAGTAAAATGGGTGGTGCTTTTTCAATTGTTTTTGTATCCATGAATTACAGTTACTACTATTATTACTATTAGTTATTATTATTACTCTGATTTTCCATTTTTAATTTAGGAGTCTCTGACCATCATCAAATCCAAAATTCCAACCTATTGCTCTATCTACAACTGAAAGAGGCAATTTCTTTGTCTGGAGGAAACGATCTGTGTCCAGATGGTTATAGGATCTTGCAAGGCCTCTGTCTCATCATGTGGAGTACTGCTTTTGTTGTCTGTATTTTTGTGTATCAAATCAAATAAATATACTAATAAAACTGGTGTTTTGAAATGTAGCTGACTGAAGTTCAACTGGGCTTGGTAAAAAAAACAAGCCACTTTTCTCTATCCCAGTGTAAATACAAAAAAGGACAATTAAATAAGTTGTATCTATTTGATATTTGCTGGTATATAATGTTTTTTATGCATGGGTTCACATAATATTAGGTTTGCTCTTTCTAAAAATCATACTTCATCCACTACTTTTAATTCACTTACAATGTTTTGTTCCACTGAAGAAGTGGAATTTTTGCACAGAATGCTTTGGCGTGATTCTATGGGCACTGGCAGGCCTTCAGTACATTGCCCAAGTCACCATTCTTCATATGTGAGCCTTGTCAATATGATCTACTTTATACAGATCGCTAAAAATAGCAACCTTAGTCCCTATAAAAATGAATGAAAAGACAACTGAGCAATTCAACAAGATTGAATCCAATCAATGGCAACTGCCTGTTGGGCCAGGGAAAATTGAGTAGTGTCCTCATCTGATAATGTGACATGTGGTTCCAGCAGGAATCACTGGATATTTGTTAGGAGTAAGAATGTTGATCAAAATACAGTAATTTAGCAAAGACAGAGTCAAATCAATACTACAGTGTATTATTACAGATCAATAGTACATTGATCAGCAGAGACTGGGTCACATTATATCATCAAGTAGAAAGTATGTACTCGACAGTACATGTAGCCCTCAACTCTGGATAGAGCAGGATCTGCATTGTTTAAAGTTCTGCTGTTAACACACTATAATCTTTTTAGAAATATTTTGCAGCATGTTATTGATGACCGAACCACCACTTAAAATTCAGAAAAATATAGGTGATGAAAGTGCCTTTAAATGGGAGATGTTATGAATGCAGCAGAACAGGTTGTGCCAGACTTTTTAAAAAAATGCTGCAGCTTTAGTGGGTGATACAACCAACATTTCAATTGTAAAGGATATTCGATCAGAAACCTAATGGAAGAGTAATTAAGATGACAAATGCACATAATATTTAAGGGAGATGTGGAACATTGATGGGTAAGTACTGTAGAAAGCAGAGCAGAGTTATTAAAGTGAATTGAGGTGACTTACTGATGTACTAAAATATATCAGTCCTTATCTTGTTGGGATTCATCTTACTTTAATAACCCTGAAGAAGGGCTAGCTGAAGGATGAATGAAAAAGTTCAAACAATGCAGTAATTGCTGTTCAGGAGGATTTGGAAAAGCTTAGCATTAATGGGGAAATTCAGTGCATAGCCATCAACAGAGATATGTTTAAAGCTTTCAGTCTTGGATGTTATTAACTATTACTGCAATATAGGAGATAAGGATCTGTAAAGCTGATTATTTTTGGTTGAGATGAATGTTGATAAATGTACAAGCCCATGAATTTTACTGAATAAAGCTCACCTTTGTGTTTCCCCCACAAAATATACAGTCAATTCACTTCACAGTATATTCTGTGAAGCATGTTGGTACTGATCTTCAGTTGAAACATTAATCGGAGGTCTCTGTCTGGTCAGTTGGATGTTCATGATCCCATGACACTATTAGAAAAAACTGAAGGGAGTGTCTCCCAGTGTTCTGGCCAGCGATCTTCCTGTTAATTTGACCATTTAATTCATGGCTATTTGTGGGATCTTGCAGTGTGCATATTGGCTACTACACTTGACTAATTACTTGTTTGACATTGTAGGAGTGCTACCAAATGCAAGGACTTTTATTATTAATAATATTGTACAACCTAATGCCTCTTGACAGTACATAAGTCACCCTTGCAGAGGATAGTTGAGCAATAAGAATGGTGTCAACTTTTGATGATATTTAGCAAGTCATTGTTGAAGGTGAGTGTATCTGACCTGAGGGCAACATACAAACGTGTTGTGATTTTAAAAAATGAATGAGCCTTACAAAGCTGTCTTGTAACATATCTGATAATCCATTTAGCTGGATATAAGCTTAATCAAGTGCTAAGATATATGTCAAGGGCAATTGATTGCAAGTCAAAACAGTGAACCTGTGATTTAGGATTCCAAGTTATGAAGCGAGGCAGAGAACAGGTACTTTGTTAATTGCAGCAAAGGAAATTTAGAGGTGATATTATGAACTGAAATTATGAGATGCATCGATAATAGAAACATAAACAACTGATTTAACTGAGAGGGTGGGTGTAGAAATGGAGGGGATGAGTAGATAATTTCAAGCAAGACTAAAGATTACATAAATTTTACATAACTCACATTAGCAGAACTAGCATAGAGGAGTTAATGTCTCAATCAAAAGACATCACCACGAACAATGCAGTGCTCTCCTGACATGGCATTAGAGTGTCAGCCTAGACCATGAGTTCAAAGCCCCAAAGTGGGGTTTGAACGCACAACCTTCTGACTCAGAGGTGAGAGTGGTTACCAACTGAGCCAGGCTGTTACCTGAATACATGAGGATGATCAAATGTGATACCAAACTTGATGGTTGATGTGCGACGGGGACTATGGATAAGTCAATATGAAACATCACCAATCAGAGTGGTTTGTGTGGACTATGAGGATGGATTCATATTTTAAATCTTTACTTAATGATCCTCGAGTCAGGGATAGACTTCACAAAGTTTTAAGTGCTTGTTGGATTATCGTTGGCTGATCAACTCCTACAAGAGTTTGTGTGAGTGGGTAGAATTCATGTAAGGGTACATTGTTCACAGTCTGTGAAGGAACAGATTTGATGAGCCAAATGACATTATTCTCCTTGCATTTGATAATAATCCTTGAATTTGATATAGCGCCTTATCACGTCTTCGAGACATCTCAAAGCACTTTACAGAATATACTGTAAAATGAATTGACTAGATTTTGTGGGGGATGTTTCTGTGATCTGCATCTTCCTCTATGAAAATTACATGAGTGGACAGCAGTGATGTAAATAAAGGAGGTAGAATATTTTAGAAATAAATTACCTTTTAAAATTTTCTTTTGGCGCACCCAATTTTGATAAGATACGGTAATAAAAATAGCATGTCAGCACTTTCCTAAAACAGCTCAAGAAAACATCTGAAGTGTGCTCAGTAATGTATAGCTAAATACATGGTTTTGCTTTAATTAAGCATGCAAGTTATTTTTTCAAACATGCAAAACTGAGGATATCATTTAATTACAAACCAAACCAACTATCTGGTAAAACAACTCATTTGCAAACTTAAATTCTAATCTTAAATAACAATAAAGGTTTGGTAAGCTTATTTTTGAAAAATATATGTATATGCAAAACCACAGAGAATAAATTTTGGATTATCTATCATTTGCAAGCTGTGATTGAATAATTATAGATTTAATTTTATACATAATTTGTAAGGAATAAATCCCCAGCGATTATAATATTGGCAAGGACTGACACTAATTACTGTACTTATTACTAATAATGTAGAATTTTGTCTTCCAGAAAGTTATTAAGCATTCATGCATTGCACACAGTCGATGCAGTCAAGTCACAATCTCTCCCTTTTCTCCCTTGCTCACCTCTGAGTGATTATCCTAATAATGGGCATTTATGAAAGCAAGTTGTTGTAAAGGTGGACATCTACTTGGGCCTCAGCTGCTCTCCTCTTGAATTATCTCAGCAATTTCAGATTGGATATTGACCACTTCTATAAAATTACACTTCTACAAAATGAGATCAATCAATGATCTTTCAGTTCTCAGTGAGTGCAGAGGTTGATTTTAATACTCGNAAAAAAAAGTTAGTCTCCTGTTCAAAATCAAATGACAGAAGTTAGAAAAAACAAGGAAGATAAGAACTGTGTTTCAGCAGTAGAAAAGCTAGGAGATTAGATAAGCATTCCCTCCAGGAACAGAGTGCACATTCCATATACAGGGAAATTTCTGTGGCAAACCAATGTGAGACTCTCATTCCGGTTTTAATACTCTTAAGCATGGAGCATATTTTTCAAACACATGGCAGAACATATGGGCAGAGTTCTTGGGGAGTACCTTCATTATAGTTTGACACAATTTCTTTTTACCAGTGGTGAGACTCTTGCACTGTTATTTGCTTCTTATGTTGATAAATGTTGCAAGGATTCTACAAGGGTGCTATGTATTATATCATAACAATAATCAATTATTGTATAAGCAATAAATTGTTCTTTCCGCAGTATTGACAGCTAGATGTATAGAACTGTTCCAGAAATTATAAAGTTGTTACATTATAATAATCTTTGTATTTGATATAGTATCTTATCATGGCGTTGAATGTCACCCACGCGTTCAACAGAACGTTTACTGTGATGTGTAGTGACTGTATTTTGTGGCGGATGTGGAAGCCAATTTGCACACAATACTGTCCTGCACCGTTCATTGTTGGTCAGGACACCAGAAGAAATGATGGGATCTGGGCAAAGTTCACTGATAGTGATTCCTTCAGACGCCCAGATGTGTTTTAGGCCGATCGTTTTGAACTCCACTAATTTTAATTTCTTCTGCGAAGACGATTGTGGTCAATCGAGGCTTCTGGTACCCAGTGGAAGATCGATGGCTGATTGGAACTCCTTAGGTTACCCTAAGATGTAACCCCAGCATCTGCGTTCACAAAACCTCTTGTGAAGCTCGCATGTGGAATCTCTGACGTAACAAATTGAGGTTGTCCTTCTTCATTCCTTAAGCCTAGAATTTTTTTTGACATACACTCATAATGGAAGAGTTCAGCACAAACGGTGACAGCATTTTATTGTGCNTTTTTTTTAAAACTGCCGTTGCCCCTGAAAAAGTTTGAGAAGTTATTTCAGTAGTGTTTTTTTATATGCACAACATCAATTATATCATCCAGAATGTAATAATGTCCTTCAAAGACTGAGCGTGTCTCGGGAGAATATCGGTCAGATGGTTCTTTTTTTAAAAAAAACATGTGTAGTTACGTACTACTGCTGATGATGCCGATAATGTTTCCATTTTTCTTGTGGCCGCTGTAGCAGCTGTTTTTGACAGCTCTAGGAATTGAGGCTGCCTGCAACTCCTTAGCATTCATAGTGATGTCCTTCAACTACATAATGTTATTAAAAATAAACTGATTCAGTGTTGCAGCATCTGTACTATGCAGCAGTAGAAAGTTAACTATTTCGATGCTGTTGAGAAGCTAAAACAAACCAACACCAGCATGTCCTCTGATAAACTTTCTCTTTATTTTTTTTACAAAATGTACACCTATTAATACACAAAGACTATTGTAAATCTCAGATGTACATGGACTGTGCTACTCCTCGAGTCTTGCATTATAAATAAGTCACAGCAGATCAGCATGTACGTGCCTTTAGGATTCTACTTGTATACCTGAAGTAGTCGTGGGACTGCTTTCTTGCCAACAAAAAAGGTGCTGTGTTATTCTAGTTAAGAAATTGTGATGTACAAATGGACAGTATGTAATATGTACAGTTGTTGTTTGTCCCCTTTCACATTGCCCTGTGAATAAAATCTCACTTAAATGGATTATTGAATCATGTTTGGTTAGAGTGCTGCTTATTTCAATTTGCCAAAGAGTCTACTGCAAATCAGGAGGGCCGTACTACATAGCCACACACACATATGTACACATCTATGAAATCTGCTTTTCGCCCATATGATCAAAAGCAAAGTCACCATGGTGACATTAGCCAGCTTTTATTATTTCCAAGAGGGCTTCTTGTTTTCAGATGTTTACTTAGAAAGCATGCATTTTACATGACCAACTAACGCAGAGATTCTGAATAAAATGTTCTTCATGTCATGATGCAGATGTGTGTATAAACTCAAAATAAACAAGTCGAAATATTTACAACTGAACAAAGCTCACTCGCATAATACATAACTCAGCGTGCCCGCTGAGCTCAGGTACAATAGCCCTGGTGTCTCCACTGTTTACGGTCGCCATTCATTTGTTTGTTCAGAATGTTTGAAGATGCCCCTTAAAGTGCTTGATCGCTGCTGTTGTTAAATGACGTTTTCAAAGAGTTGCATGGATTTCATGATATTCTCGTCCTGTGCAGGAGAAAACAAAACGGGAATCTTTGAAAAAACAATGCTGCATGGTGCATACCATTCAGCAAATCAGGCAGGAGCATTGATACCCTGACAGCTCAGACTTGTGATCACACGATATCAGTGGTCAGTTTTAGAGGTACTCGCTTCCCAAGCAAGAGACCTGGGTTCGATTCCCTGCAGGGCAAAATGTTGGACAAGTTTCCTTACTCCATGTGTCTCTGCTTACCAACAATAAGTGGGAATCCGGTTGTTTGTCAATTTGGGGATTGTTTATCCCGGGGTAATAATTCCTTCAAAAAAAATAATAATAATAAACTGGTCACTTACTCCACGACTGTGTGTGGGACACTGCTGTGCGCAATTGGCTGCCGCGTTTTGCCCACAAAATATACAGTCAATTCACTTTACAGTATATCCTGTGAAGCGTTTTGAGCGTCTCGAAGACGTGATAAGGTGCTATATCAAATGCAAGGATTATTATTAGATACAGATGGTTTTGAGAATATGGCTAAGACAATGGAGGCAATGGGATCTCATCTCCAGGATTCCTAAAGTATCCACAATTCTTGAACAACCCACTGGAATTCCACACTGATGCCAATCTCATTTCCAATTGTCATCAAAACGATTTGTGACCAAAGGCCATTCACTGACACTTGCGAACTGATGGAGTTGTACACGCTTAACAGATCCTAACAATTATACACTTTATATAGGGTATGTTTTTTAATTATGGTCAATGGTCTAAAACAGATTTGTTACTTTCCACCTTTGTTTCAACTCACAACTGAGGACAGAGTAAAAAGGTATCAATGGCAGGATATATAATTGTATTGGACAGCTACTTTGGAGATGAGGGGGAAGATGAGAGAAAGAAGGCAGGAAGTTGCTGATAATTATCCTGAATGTGATTTTTCAACAATAACAACTTGCAGTTACATAGCACCCTCCACGCAGGATAGTGTCTCAGAACATTTAATAGTAGCGGAGCCTGACTCCGAGCCCAGGGGAGTGGGGAGGTGGCGTAAGCACGGTCAAACGGGAAAGTTTTCAGGTGGAACTTGAAAGAGGAGAGAGAGGGGGCAAGGTGGAGGGATTGAGGGAGAATGTTCCAGAGTTTTGGGGTGCAGTGGCTGAAAGCACGACCTCCGATGGTGGGGCGGAAGGTGCGAGGGATGAGCAGGAGGCCGGTGCTAGTCGAGCAGAGGCACCGGGTGATGGATTGGGGAGTGAGGAGGTCGGAGAGGTAGGGAGGTGCCAGGGAGTGAATGGATTTGAACACGAGAGTAAGGATCTTGAAGTCGATCCTTTCGTTGATGGGGAGCCAGTGGAGCCTGGCCAGAACTGGCGAGATGTGGGTACGGAGTTTGGTCCGGGTCAGTATGTGGGCGGCAGAGTTTTGAATGAGCTGGATCTTGTGATGGAGCTGGGGAGACTGGCGAAGAGTGTGTTGGAGTAATTCAAGCGGGAGATGTCAAGCGCATGCATGAGGGTTTGGGCTACATTGGGGTAAGGTACAGTCAGTGGTGGGCAATGTAGCAGAGGTGAGTCTGAGGGGGAGTCGAGGGCAGTTAAGGAGTTTAGATCATAGGATCCGCAACAACAACAACTTAATATATAATATATAGCGCCCTTCATGCGGACAGCATCTCGGAGCACTTAACACGGGACCGAAAAGAGGGGTGGAAGTGATCAAAGCCACTTTCAAAGAGGAAAATCTTCAGATGTGATTGGACTTCAAGACCTAACTACATTAATAGTGTGAGAACACTCACTTTTTGGCAGGTTTCGATGAACTCATCAATGGTAACCACTCCATCTTTATTTTTATCCATTTTCTGTTGGGCGGAATTAAAGAGAAAACAAATGTCAATGTTATTCTTTAACAGTAAGAGACAAAATAGACATGCTGCTGGTTTGCTGAACGATCCCTCTCTCTAAATGGGATTATTAAATCTGTTGGCAGATTTCATGGAAGGAATAACAAACAATAAAACACAATCTACAATTATAACAATTATATAGAACCTTTCACGTCGGGAGGATGTCTCAAAGCACTTGATGAGCTGGGGTGGAAATGGGGGGGAGAATGGGGGAGGGGTAAAGATTTAGAAGACACGATCAATGAGGTAGGTTTTGAGGCATACCTTGAAAGAAGGCAAACAAAGCAAAGAAGTCTATTTTTAGGCTGTGGCAAACACACCTCTGGCTATTTAAAATTGTGATCATTAAAGAGCCATTGCTGCTACAAAAGGCATTCTGGTTAGAATTCACAACAGTGTGCGAGGAGGGTCACATAGGAGCTGGACTGTTTAATAATAGTAATAATAATTGCATTTGCACCTGTAGAGTCAAATGTTTCAAAGTACTTTATAATAATATCTGTTAATAATAAAAAAACTTACATTTGACATAATGTAAGGATGCAAAGATTATTATAATGCTTTTCATGTCTGCAAGATATCTCAAAATGCGAAGGAAGATATACTTACTATAAAGTGCAATGACTGGACTGTGTAGCCAAATTGCACGTGTTTGATGTCCCAAAAGTAGCCATGAAGCAAATGGCCTATTTGGGAGATTGTTGGTCAGGACACTGAGAGAATCATCTCTTTTAGAATAGTATCTTGGAATTTTTAACATCCACTTGAACAAGCAGATGGGACCTCAGTTTAACATCTCATCCAAAATTTGGTATCTCAAACAATGCAGTACTGCCCAGCACAAATTGAGCATAATATTTTGTAAGCGACCCCTCCTTCTTCTTCTCCCAGTGAGGGGACACCCTGGAGAGCTGGACCCACATGGCTACAACAGAAGTGTTACCAAATTAACCAAGCTGATACCTAAATAAGCAAAGTAATTTGGAGTCGTGGTCAATACTGGTACAAATGCAAACTGCAGGTCTTTTACGACAAATAAATTACCCAAATGATGTCCAATTAATGGTCTAAATGAACTATTCTACATAGGGCCATTTACAAACTGCTTGCATTGGTTAGAATAGTTTGCAAAATGGGGGTGAGAGTGTAATATTTCCCACTCCATACCTGGAAAAAGATTTCCACGTGCTGTCTTGGAATTTCATCTCTGAGAACAGGATACGTGTATTTTCCCATCATGTCATAGATCGATTTCATAATGTCCAGCATCTCCTGCCAAGCACATTAAAATAAAAATAAATGTAAGAGATTAGTTAGATTAGGCTGATTTTATTCAAACATCCAATGTACATTGCAGAGAAAATTTGGTATTCCTAAATGCATTCCGATTTTTAATAAGGAATAATACTAATAATCACATTTACATTTGGTGTAGAACATATCACGTCGTCAAGATGTCTCAAAGTTTCATAGGATTTTATTGTGAAATGTAATGACTGTGTATTTCTAGGCAAATGCAAGAGCCAATTTTTCCACAAATAGCCATGAAGTGAATGACTGATTTTATTTGAAATGTATTGATTTAGGAATACCGCATTTTACCCTTCCTCCTTCCATTGTTTATATCCTAAGCAATCAGAGTTCCCGGATTGTAGCCTCACATGTGCCCTCACCTCCACAAACCTTTGACCTGCGAAGATAGGTGAGTGAGCTGAATGCTTCTCACACACTGTGAGCGACTTATTACATTGTCTTACCTGAGCAAAAGAGATGTTTACTAGTTCAGAGTGTTGCGTGTTGATCAAAAAGACTTCAGACCTGCTTGGAGAGGCTTGGATATCAATGATCCACAGTACTTGAGACATTCATGTTCATGAAAAGCATTATAAGTTGTTCCTAAAGTCCAAGCTGTCTCAATCACGTAAATTCCGAGTAGCTCATATGCTTTGAACTGCACTGGGATGTGAGATAAATCCTTAATACTTTCTTATCCCTTTTTATATTGCAACGAACATGTCCATTGTCTCTTCAGCCTCCTCATGCTTCTCATTGTTTTAATTGCTTTCTCAATATTTGCTCAAACAACTTGGTGCAATTAACTAATGAATAAATTTAACTGAACAGACATCAATTCTAAATCCCCAACGGTACAAACACATCAAATGTTCCTCTGCAGGTTCTTTGGATTCAAAGTTAATTAAATGAATGAAAGGAAGTGTCTAATGACGACATCAGCTGTCAATCTTAACCTTCTCCTGGCACAATGGTCTTTTTATTGATTGGAACTAAACACCTATGTGAAGCCACAAATGATAGTATATTTGTGTTACATATTAGGAGCAACAACAAAATGATAATGCCAGAGGTAACAGTAGCAGGGACAGATGTCTCATGAATTTTACTTTGTTTTGTTTCAGGAATAGGAAAGAATTACACTTGAGTCTAATAATGATTCAATGAAATAAGCACTTTCTTTATTCAAGCACAACTATGATATAAACATAAAATCCCAATGTAGCACATCACTTTCCATTTATTCCTGTTATATTTAATTCCTGACCCAGGCATCAAATGTCCCTAATTATCTGACTTGTAATGCTCAGCTCACGAAATAGAGGCATTCCGCTGCTCATTTTACTCAGACACAGTAATGCATTGAATCAAATCACTTATTTGCAACAATTGTTTGCTTGAACCGCTAACTGAAAGATGAAAGGGAAGCAGTACAAATATTCGCAAGGTCCTGATTTTAATCTGCGGCCCACAATCCAAAATTAAGCCAAACATTTTTCCGGTAAAATGATTCAGATTTAACTCTTACCTTGTGTCAAAAGAATGATTTCCTATCACTGGAGTGATCTGTGAGTAATGCTTCCACTGATAGTTTCCTATCATTCTGCCTATTGGTCTGTGTGAGTTAAATGACACTCGCCTCAGGATACAGAACTGGCAGCTTGTACATCACGCATCACGAGATCTCACGTCACAAGAGAGTTTTGGATTAGGAAACTACTCGTTTCATCGACCCGTTTGATCTCGTCTTCCCAGAATATCCACCTTACCATCTAGTGTCCTGAGAGGCGAGTTGCTATCTCAGTGTGATGTTATGACGTATATATTATCATGCATGTTGTATGTGTGCAGTTATATATGTGGTATTCCTGCAGCCCCACACTAAATTATTTATCTTATACCTTCAGAGGCAGAAAGAGTGCTGCAGAAGCACTATGCTGCCATATAATAATAATACTTGCATTGGATACAGTGCCTTACCACGTCTTTGAGAAGTCTCAAAGCGCTTCACAGGATACACTGTAAAGTGAATTGACTATATTTTGTGGGTGAAACGTGGCAGCCAATTGTGCAAAGGAGTGGCCCACAAACAATCATGGGTAGCCGCAGAGTTGAGAGGGGTAAGTACAATATGTTTATATCTTAGCAAATACAAGGTTACCTGTTTCCTTCAATTTAATACCTTGGTCAAAATATTTTAACCTTATCTTTTTGTAGCTAGGGAGAGCAGAGTGGGCATTTGAGAACACAGTCAAGTGGGGGAAATTAAAAAGCAGAGAGGAAAAAAGAATCAAGGAGTAGAACTACAGTTTAGCTTCTGATGCTGCTGAAATAACTGAAATGTACAAAAAATCTGCCCAGAGTGTGGGGAGCAAAGTCGAAAGCATTCCATAAAATGCACCAAGGGAATCACTCCCCATCGATGGAAAATGTGGGCGATCACAGTTCAAGATTTAAACCTGTTTTTGTTTGTTGATATTTATATATATATATTACGTAGAGAAAAAAAATATTTGGGTAAAGAGACTAAAAGTCCCGCTTAAATTCTCACTAGCTTTCCACTGCTCTCCAATGATAGTGTCACAGTTTTGCATCTATCCCATTGACTGCACTTTGATCATCTTTCCCTCCACAACTCTTCTTGGTTCCCACCCCTAGTTTGGGTGTCAAGCATTAATAAATGTTTTCCGATGTGAAAGGCACTATATAAATTGAATTGTATTTTTATAGTGTCTTATCAGGTCAAAACATCTCAGAGTGCTTTTTGAGGAACTACAGTTAAGCGTAGAGACCCTTAGCAAACTCAGAGCCAGCAAGGTGAACAACCAATTAATATGGAGGATTATTGGCTAGGACACCAGGAGAAACTCCATTAATAATAACAATAATCCTTAAATTTGATATAGCGCCTTCTATGTCATGGAGAAAAGTGTTTCACAGGATATACTATAAAGTGATGTGACTGTATATTTTCATGGCATCGTTTAAGGTCAACCAAACTCGGTATAACATCTCAGGCAAAGGATAGCGTCTCTGACCATGCAATATTGCATCACTGGATGTCAGCCGAGAATATGTCCCAATGTGAGGCTTGAACCCACATCCTTTTGGCCTCAGTGTGACAATCCAACCAAGTGACCCAGGCTGACATGTAAATAAGCAAAGTAACTGACTTACAGTCATAGTGGAACAAGCATAAATTTTCAATTGGTTAACCATTATATAAAAGTTCCCCTATGAAGACAATAATATTTGCAACTGCAATAACTAATTTGCTGTAAAAATCATAACTGATTTATAGTTGCTACTCACATCGAGAAATGGGAGCAGCTACAGCTTTTATAACATGAAATAACAAGGATTTAATAAAAATGAATTTAAATAAATGATAATACAAGCATTTTGGAATGAAACAAACATTAGTTCACTTCAACGGAAAATAATATTTAGGGACCCTGAACACCAAAATAATCTAATAAAAATAATCCTTGCATTTGATATAACACCTTTCATATCGGGAGGATAACTCAAAGTGCTTCACAGGATATAGTGTAAAGTGTAGTAACTGTACTTTGTAGGCAAATGTGGCAGCCAATTTGCAGCCAGCAATGTGCTACATATAGCCACAGAGTGAATGCCCAATTTTATTTGGAGGACTGTTGGCCAGGATACCAGAACAAATTCCCTTTTCGAACAAACACCAGAACAAATTCCATTCTTTTCGAATAATGTCTTTGGATCTTTAATGTTCACCTGAACAGACAGATGGGGGGACTCGGTTTAACATCTCGTCCGAGGGAATGCACCCTCATCCCTGGATTGGAACGCTAGCCTAGTCTTTGAGTTCTGAGTCAGAAGTTTGTGGAGACTTGAATCCACAAACTTCTGACTCAGAAGTGAGGAGTGCTAACAACTAAGATAGGCTTGACACACTGATTCAATCCCCAATTGATCTTTTCTGCTTTATTTGTATTTCTGATGCTGGACAGAAGTTCTCCCAGGGCTCATAGACTTCTTATATTATATTCCCTGAGCCTTCCACAGTTCTTGACAGTTGTAGAGTCTCTATGGTACGTTTCTCATTTCAATATAAAAGCCCTCAATGGATTCCTGAGACATAAAGTGTTCCTTGTTGTTGCAAAGAATAATAAAGCATAACCTGTCTTTGTCTTGGAGCTTTTCCAATAACATATTTTGCAGAACTGCCTCACTTTTCTAATTCTCACTCAGCTCTTGTTAACTCTGTAAACCAAAGCTCTTATGATTAGATAATCCCAGCTAGGCAAGCAGTGGGAAGCTTTCCAATCTTTCCAATGGCAAGCTGTATTCTTTTAGCTGGTAATTTCTAGAAGTACCCCCAACACATCCTCTGGGGTCCCCAAGTCTTGGCTCTTTTCAACCTGTGCTTAAATTGTGTATTTACGATGTGTCCCAGTGCCTTGGAACATCCTCCTGATGCGACAGGCGCTATATAAATACAATTTATGTTGTTATAATGGAATTTTCCTTTATAGCGATGTAGCAAAAAGATGTCTGAGGCTTTAGTATTATTTGTAAACATACTTTCATTCTCAGAGGAAGGGCACTATCCTTTTCTTTTTCCCACTTGAATGGCTGTTAAAGGACTACGTGATGTTTAAATTTCTTTCATGCTGTTATTCACCCAACTGATTGAAGCATGATTGGTTTCATTAGATTTCTGGTCCTGTGTGTGATATGCTTCCCTCACTTGTCACTCATATCTCTATTCCCTGACAGATGGTTTTGTTTTACCCACTCATGTCTCCATTGATTTTAATTCTGTATTAATCTGTTCTCACATTCTCTCTTTGCTTCCATACAGTAATAATAATAATAATAATCCTTGCATTTGATATAGCGCTTTTCATGTCGGGAGAACGTCCCAAAGCGCTTCACAGAATATACTGTAAAGTGAATTGACTGTATATTTGTGGGCGAACGCGGCAGCCAATTGCGCACAGCAATGTCCCACAAACAGTCGTAGATTGAAAATGACCAATTTATTATTGTTTTTTTGGTTTTGGAGGGATTATTATTAGGCGTGTGGAGTAAGGAAACTTGCCCAAGATTTCGCTCTGCCTGGAACTGAACTCAGGTCTTGCTTGCAAAGCGAGTGCTCTAACCACTGAGCTACAGGACTCCATAGGCATCAATAGGCAGCATGTAAACTGGGTAGACTCTCAGTTTACAACTACAACAACTTGCATTATATGGAGCCCTTTGTATAGGATAAATAATAATAATAATCCTTGTATTTGATATAGCATTTTATCACGTCTTTGAGACGCCCCAAAGCGATTCACAGAATATACTGTAAAGTGAATTGGCTGTATATTTTGTGGGTGAAACATGGCAGCCAATTGTGCACAGCAGTGTCCCACAAACAGCTGTGGATTGAGTGATTTTTTAAGGGATTATTACCCCCGGAAAAGCAATCCGCCAATCGACTAAAAAACTGGGGTCCTACTTACTGTTAGGTAAACAGAGGCGTGTAAAGTAAGGAAACATGCCTAACGTTTCGCCCTACCTGGGAATTGAACCCAAGTCTTCTCACTTGTAAAGCGAGCACTCTAACCAATATACTACAGGACTCCACGATATCTTGGAGTGTTTTATAAAGACGGGGTCAGACACAAGCAACAGAGGAGGGAATGGGCTTAGGAGAGGTGACCATAGGTGCAATTGAAGAGGTAGGTTTTTAATTGGGATTTAAAGTCACGTAGCGAGCTAGTGAGAGAGAGGGATAGAGGTAGTGTGTTCCAGAAGTTAAGGTCATAGTTGCAGAAGGTTCAGCAACCAATGTTGTGGTGGAGAGGGTCGGGAATGTACAGCCTGAATTGTATTAAAAAAAGAGAAACCTATCTCAAATACAACATTTTAACCGTTTCTCCCTTGACTCCAAATGATTTTGTTTACACTCTTTCTTATAGATTAAATCACCAGCAACACCTTTCACCTCGGGTGGACGTCTCAAAGCTCTCCACAGGATTCGCTGCAAAGCGCAGTGCTTTGTGGGCAAATTATGATGTTGCATTTTTCACTCGATAAAGCTTATGCTTTTTTCCAGATTACATTTCTTTTGTTGTCACAACAGTGGCACCCTCAACTCTCCACGATTAGTCTTCAGCAATGATCCTTTGGCTGTGCAGGAAATCTATACACCTGGCACTGTAGATTATTTTAAAGCTCCCCCATTGCAATGCCATCTGTCTTCTTCATAGTAGGTAAAACAGTTAGTGATGCATAACAGGAGCCCTCATACAGCAATCTGAACCAAACAGATTTAATGAAGCCCAGCCAAAGCTTCATGCAGTGAACCATAGCATTGTAGAAGAATTCCCTCACGTTATTAAAGATGGGAAAAAGTGATGAACCCAGTTCATTACACATTTCAACACAGTGCCAAAAAACCCTCTTCTTCAACACATAAACAAATTCTCCAACAACAGCAACAACTTGCATTTATATAATGGGGCAGGGTCTCAGAGCACTTAAAGTTGCAATGCTTACTTTACCTCTTTAGTTATATATCCATCCTTATTAATGTCATAGAGATTGAAAGCCCATTTCAGTTTGTCTTGTATCGTCCCACGAAGTAAAACAGAAAGACCTGTGACAAAGTCCTGAAATGACAAAGCAGCAGGATCTTAAGGAACAATTGCAGAAATGGGGGAGAAACAACATTTAAAAGCAAGCTGCTCATAAATCACACACAAAAAATATGTTTTGAATGAGTCTCTCAGAATTTGGCATGAAAACATAAGAAACCAATCTTCTCTATTTTGAACTCTACCCAACTCATTTAGTCTCCTGAGGAAAAGTTCTGAAGAGATTCAGACTGTCACCTCAAAGGTAAAGTAGGCAACACTCCAGATTAGTCATGTAGCTTCCAATCTATATATACATCTTTGACAATGACATTTCTATGGCCCCAGTAGAGCAGGAACTCTCATGTTACAGAAAGCATTCAATTACCTCTATCTGTATTTATCCTTAATACCTTGAATCCTGCTCCCAGCCAGACACTGCATTTAACCAGCTCATATTTGAAAGGTGATATGAGACACAACTTTAACTGCTACTGCTGCTTGTTTCACAAATCCACTGCTTGTAGTAAAAACAAATGCCTTCCGATATTTTTGACTAGCATATTAATTTTATATTCATAGACTTTCGTTCTTTGCTCACCCATTTAAATTACTAGTTTTCAATTAAGAACCAGAATTTTTTTTGCTTTTGTTTTGTTTTATTTTTTCCATCTCATTTATTTCAAATGAACATTTATGCATTGTATTGTGTATGGAAGAGAAAATAACTATTTTCTAAATTATGAGGAGATGCTCACCAAGATGAACTTTGCTGTATTGGGGAATAGGAGGAAGCATGATCCAAAGCCCTTAAATGCTGAGAAGCACAGGGAGCCAAAATGTTACATTTGCAAACTGGATTCATTGTTATTTGCAAATATTGTGAGATTGTGAAATTCACAGGTATTGAATCGTCAAACCCAAACCAGCTAAACCTGAAAAAAGGTGGAGCAAAACAGCGGAGGGGGAAAAAGGTGGACTCTGGAAAAGTGGACCTTCTTCAGATTCAATCAGATTCGATTGCCAATCCCAACCTTTGCAGGTTTGGGATTGGCGATGTGCTGACTGACAGTTTGCTGTTCGCAAACCAAGAGTCATAATTAATGTGACAATTTTGGTTCCTGAATATTAGGTTTGAACCACATAAGCAGACATTACAGTAACATAGATCCACACTGCAAGAAGGACTATTACCAGCTTAAGCACCTGAAAGACTAAAATAGGCTCATTATGATAATCAAAACAGCTATTGTGGCAATAAGACCCTAAATCAATAAGATTTTGAAGAGTGCTGACTTAAACCCTGCAGATTCTGTTTTCGAGGGGAGGTCAGTAGTGTCTGACACATGCGGAAACCCAACACCAAATAAATAAAGGGCACTTACCTCAAAACTCACTGAACCATTGTGATCTGTGTCAAATGCATTGAACAGAAAGTGAGCATATGTAGATGCATCTGAAATAGAAAGATAGGTAACTTCCTCAACAATCCAATTCAAGTTGTTTGCCACGGCAATTCAAATTAGGCTAAAACTTCATTTCATTATTAGCTTTGATACCTAAACATAATTTCAGAGAAAAAAAATCACAACAAAATCTGACCATCTACATATCTTCTTTAATTTAATGTCACCTTGCAATACAATACAAATTGACATTTATAAAACATCTTTCACCTTAGGAGGTACTGTCACCCGAGCTGAGGGTGGGGGCTGAAGGGGTGGCGAAGGGAAAGGTGACCGAAGACTTGGTCAAAGAGGAATGTCTAAAGATACCTTGAAAGCCAAGAGGGATGGGGCAAGTCAGAGAGATTCTGAAAGAGAATTTCAGAGTGTGGGTGGAGATAGACTGAAAGCCCGATTGTCAAAGGTGGGGCAGGTAGAGTGGAGGGCCAGTGGCAAACTGCAGTGGCCAAGTTGGTGCGGTATCAAATTAACTTAATCATTTAAATCACATTGATGGTCATAGAAATTATCTATCACTCTATAAACTATTGCCAATAGTTGTCAGCCAGGGGAAACGGTTCTTTTTGGAAGATGACGGTCTTTATGTCATCAAACCAACAAAGCAATGAACATTACTCTAAAATTGTTGTTTCTGTGTTATAATCATCTGCTTCATCGATATGAACCAGTTATTGCAGACATTTTGAAATTGTGTGTGAATCTCAATTATTCACTTTCCTCCAATTTTCTGTCTTCACTTCCTGGAAGTAGTGACATGCTGGGATACCATTCCTTGGACATTGACAGAGCTCAGCCGGAGAGGCCATTGTGCGTTGTTTTTCACAAACTAATCATAATAAGCCTTGCATTTGATTATGTATTTCATGTTGTCTTCACAGCAATTCACAGATAATTGTTATCAAGTGCATTTGCTGTGTTTTTGTGGGCAAAAGCATCAGTTCATTTATGCACAGCAAGGTTCCACAAATAGTCCATAAAGTCATTGACCAATTTATCTGCAAGATTGTTGGCCAAAACACTGAAAGAATCATCTTTCTCTTTTTGATTAGAGAACAAACAGACAGTACATCAGTTTAATGATGCAGTTTTCCCCCAGTACTGAACTGATGTATCAACCTAGGCTATAAAATGTGTATTTGGGGCTTGAGGCCACAACGAGAGCTGAGAGTGCTATCAACTGAGCCAAGCTGATACAACTGTAGTGGTTTATTGGACTGGGCATTATCATGTGGTACAGTGTAAGCTGATTAACCAGCTTCAGTATGAATTTGGATTCAGACATAAAGAAGTTAAATTTTGGAACTGGCTCTAAATATTCGTTTCCAACATACAGCTCCTGACAATGTTGTAAAATTTCTCTGAAATTAATTGAAGAACACCAGCTGCCCACTGTTAAGGACTACTTTACAAAAATGATATATTGATCTAGCGGACATTTCGTCACCTGGGGACTCACCTCCTTGAGCAGCTTATTTTTCAGGAACACTCAAGGAATTCTCCCTCATTTGAACATTGGTGATTATCAATATAAATACTCACCTCCCTGGGGAAAAACTGCGCGTAAATGTCTTTGAATGTATCTTCATTGACTATCCCACTGGGACATTCCTGTAGATAAGCAGACAAAATGAATAAATCTCATATCCAAAAGCCCAATGTAATATCAAATTTATCTGTACATTAACTCCACACAGACAGTAAATCACGTCAAATGCATTTCAATCTGTGCGCTCACATAAAAGGAGCCTTGCATTGGAACAAGAAATCACTTTATGTCTTTGTAGTTTCTAAACTGGCAAGTTTAATTTTATTATCTAGCATTAGACTTGAAACATCGCATCTGGATTATTTAAGACATGTGAACCATTGACGCATTGCTGCTTTATACTGATCTCTAAATTATTGGCCAGTTCTGCAATAGTGAGTTACTCGTTTAATAAATTGAAAAATGATCTGCCACTGGAGCGTTCAAATCAAAATAGTTGTGGCTGAGCTGAAACATATTGCAAAGGGATTGTGGCTATTTGGATCACAGCTATCCAGTCTATTCAAACAATAAAGGTCTCTATTCTGCCAAGAAACATTTTCCACATCAGTACCCTGACTGTCATTTTCAGGCACTGCACAAATACCTTGGAGGACGTAGGCATTGAGGTCTCAGAGATTGTTCAGACAGATTACAAATTGTGTTGTGAACTTGAGGCATTATTAACACAAGTGAATATATTTCAGCTGGTGGGCGAAGACAGTTAAACATTCTAAAGCCAAGCAGAAACACAATTGACTCATTGTTATGCATTGCAAGAAATAGTTATAGTTCAATAAGCTTTAATACCATCGCTTTTATGAAAGTGGATACTTGTAGATTTAAAGTGAGCTCTCATTTCAATTTCTATTGAGCTCCCAAAATACAGTATGCCCATACAGTCATAGAAATTTACGGCGCAGTGCAGTCATCGAGACTGCACCAGCTTTCAGAGCAAGCTACTAATTCAATCCCATTGCCCTGCTCCTTCAAGCCTTTATCTTCCAAATGCACCTCATCATTTTTCCAACAATTGTATTCACAAGCTTTCTCATGAAGTCACTAAATTCATAGTTGCCAAGTCGATATTTTCTGCATCCAATAAAAAAAATGACATGGGCCTTGGGGGGAGGGGGGGGGGTATTTGTAGTTCAGTATATTTGCCTACAACATACACAGTTACACCACTTGTATTCTGTGAAGTGCTTTGAGATGTCCTCATAGGTGCTTCATCACATATAAAGATTATTATTATTTTGTTACACCAATGAACAACAGAGGGCAAAGAATCATGCACATGATTTCCCTCTCTGCGAATTCTTGATTTTATTGGTACTCATCCGACCACCCATCAAAAAAGCTATCTAGCATAGCGCTCAGCTACTGGTCACAAACAGGCTCCAATGAGACATGGGAGCATATCACATACATTGGGACTTTGAGCTCATAGTCTAGACTGACAATCCAATACAGTGCTGGGGGAACAGTTCATTGTCGCAGGTGCCGTCCTTTGGAGGTGTTATCTTTTGTCCCCCAGAGTGTCAGCCTGGACTGTGAGTTCAGAGGCAATATGGGACTTGGACCCACAACAACAACAAAATTAAATTTGTATAGAGCCTTTCACGTCCCAAGGCGCTGGACAGTCAGTACCTTCTGACTCAAAAGCGAGAATGTTACATGCTCTTCAGGCTGACATGATACAAAATTCAACAAGATTAGTAGATTCTGAGACTTTCGTAGTTTATAAAAAGACTGAAGTGAGTTATTGCAAGATTTCCCAGGAAAGTTTCACCTTCTTAGTGGGGCAGGGTCTAAGGCCGTAAGTGGCTAGTCTAAGGGTGGGAAGGGTAGGGATTCTTTCTTTGTGAAATCTATGCTGTCTCCTCTGATATCATAAATCCCTCTAGCTTGATGTCATCTGAAAATGTAACTACCTGATTTGAGAACCAGGGGTTATGTGTTTATAATGAGAAAATCCAATTCAAGTCCACAAATCTATAAATAAACTGAAAATAATTTTTCAGGTTATATATTAATCCAACATCTCTTCTGTATAGCAAATGTAGTAGTCCTTAAGGAAATTATTGTATGGATATTACCTCTGATACTGTGCTCTTGTCAGTTTGACCTATGGGCAGAATTCCACAGCCTCAGGGTCAATGGTCAAACAAATACATTTGCACATGTTTGCACCAATTTGCCTATTCATTGCAAGATGCCATTTTCATGAAACTGTTTCGATAACCCAATGGTTCAGCCCAACCTAGAGCAGAAAAAGTATCAAAAACACCCGAGCACATGACAGACAACACTCAGTCATGTTTGCCAGGAGAAAGATCGCTGCCTCCAGAAGGGGGTTGATTTGGGACCCCCAGAGCTAAAACACAGCAGAGAATAGAAGGAACTCTTTGTGGCCGTTCTGTTTTTATTTTCATCTGACTCTTCAACTTTCACTTTGAATTGCTTAGTACACATCATACTAAATTATGACACAAGGGAACCTTTGAACTGAAATCAAAGACAAATGTAATTCTGAACAAAATCGTAACACCTGAAACAAAAGAATGAAATCCAAATTGAAATAGCCACCTCATTACATTAACTAAAGTTGAGGGAAGCAGAAAGAGCATCCCCACAGCAGGACACTGGTGCAGAAGCCTTGCTCTTGCTTAATGAGTGAGCAACTTCCTACTACATCCAAAATGTGAAGGATAAAAGGGAATTATAAACATCTGAACTGTGGTGTTGAACTAAAGCAAAAACGTATGAGACATATTTTGTGTGCTTTACTTTGTGTGACCTAACATGAACGTTGGTGCATTCTAATCTCAACAGACCAGGCAAATACCCTTCACTGAGTGGAAGCTGTTAGCATTTATGGGATTCATAGCACAATCAACTGAATTTGTGATTAAATCCTTTACTATTGAGCATCCTTTGAGAGGCTCAGAATGCACAGAGATCTCACATTAGGATTGGGGCTCACTGGCAATACTGTCAATCTTGTCACTTTGCAATATTGCCAATGTAATATTGACATTGAGATTGGAAGTGCTAATTTGAAACTGTGGGAGCTCAAGTTGGATCGGCAGTTTGTGATAGTCACCAAAGTGTGGGAATAAGCCAGAGACTGAAGCAGCCAGCTCAAGGGCAGAATCTCTCTCACACTCCAGCCTGTTTGTAAGTGTGGATAGTTTTAAGAAATGGCAATTGAAACCTCTCACATCTTGTGTGAATATTGTGAATTAAACCCCACTGATGTACACTTGATTCAAACTCAACCCACATTTTAATATGATGAAATCCATTCTCCCTGCTGCTTTGCCAGTTGCAGTTACATGACATTGACAATCTTAACAATGTTTTGCACTGTCCATTCAGAATGGCAGGACAATTGTGAGGTGAAATTCAATAATTCTTACAGTGAAAAGAATAAATCTATTTGATGCCCACCTTTCACATTGAGAGGACATCTCAAAGGGCTTCACAAGATGTCACTGTAAAGGGTAATGAATGTGTTTTTTGTAGGCAAATTCAGTTAAGGCTAAGTGACAGTCATCAACTGCTTTTTTTGGGTCAGCTGGATGTCTGACACATGTGAAAAATGATCAATGTGCTTAAGAGTATTCAAACCAAACAGAATTCCATGCATCCCACTGCACATGGAAATTTCTGAGATATTTATTGGAATGGAATGCTCACTCTCTTCTGTAGGGACGCATCCTGCTTACCTAATTCTGGAGCGAATTAAGTGCAGAATTAAGTGCCAAAGCATTTGGGGTACAGTGTATGCGTTGGGGTACTGCTGGAGTCTAATCAGCAAAACCCACATGGCTTGCCATTGAAACCACCGTCTGGTAGAGTTACAAAAAGCCTATTTCAGTATTATTCCCTTTGCTTTTTTTCTCAATCCCCCTCCCCAACCTCCAGAACCTTACTCACTCTGGTCATCTGGTTCACGATTTCACCCTTCTTGTTCTTCCTTTACTTCAGACCACCCGCCTAAGAATAACAGACTCATCCCTTGGCACAAGTCTGAGTGTAAACGTCAGACAAGGTTGGGATCTGAACGTCAGTCTCCTTGTTTTGGAGTCACATCTCTAAACACAGCAGCTATTTCGCTTGTGAGTCCTAAGCTGTGTAAGCTGTCAGAAAACACAAATAGTCTGACAGAGGCATTGCAGGCACCAGAACTCGAGAAAGCGCACTTGATTTAAATGGCGCTCGGGGCAGTTGACTGCATCCAGATACAGTATTATAATTTTGAACAAAGAGTAACATCCCAGTCTCCTGAATGATGTATTAGCCCTGGCTTTGCTGAATATGCACAATTGCACACCGTTAACGAAACACATACAGTGAAAATCCCTCATCCTATTCATGTTACTTTCAATACTTTTTAACTGGTAATGTTGCACTCATGAACAATTCCATCATCTATTTTACAGAGTGGTTTGTTAATATGCTTAATAATGCCTTGCCATTGAAGCCAAATTTCTAAGAGAATCTAAAATGGAATTTAACAAATAATAAACGAAAAGTAATATTGAAGATTAGCAAGGGGATGAGATGAGAGTGGTGAAGCTCGCACCAGTACAACCTGAAAGTGCAGTAAACTTTCTAACAATCTATGGGACAATAGTTTACTCTAAAGGTGACTCAATGTTACCTTCAGTCTTTGATTTGTTCCCTTTTTTGATGGTCAACACAAATTGAATTCTATGCTTCCTAGTGTTGTTCCTGGTGTCTCAGGGTTCTGCATGAAGGACACTATGTAAATGAAAGTTTTTGTTGCTTAAATCCCCCCATTTGGGAAAATTAGGGTATGAGAGGGAATAAATCAAATACGATTTTGTTCCATCTTCCTATGGCTTGACAAAAACATTGTTCGGTTATTCAATTTTATTTCTATTGGAAGTAAAAGATGTTTCACAACTGGAGGCTTGAAATTTTTCATAGTCTTAACCATAAGATTATTGTCTTAAAATGTAAGAACTTTGTAAAATATCTGGCATTCGTTTTTAATTTGGAAGGCAGTTTTTTGCAGTTCTGAAAAAGAGCCATTGGAAACTAGCTTCCAAATTAAAATTGAATCTAAGAATTTTCCAATTTCCTTTATTATAAATCCCCTGAATGATGCACTTCAATCTGAGGAAGCAGAATAAAGTTCCTGTAAACTTTGGCTGCACAATGCCGCAGGATTGTATGACATGATAAGCAATTCCAAAAAATGGAAGTTCTCAATGGAAGAGAAGTGCTTCCTTATCAAGAAGTGATAGTCAAGCAGCAAGAAAGTTGCCTGAGAGTCACCCAAAATCTCCCTGATAGTGAGCCGGGGAACGTGAATGCCATAGAGGGAAGAAGATCTAATTTATGATTTTCGCAAACGGATGAACAGAGCTTTGCTCTTTGGCCTTTTTCTGTACTGTGCCAGCTTTTGAAAATTGAAATATACTGTTTTGCTTCTATGCCAAATTATTTGAGAGTTTTCAGAAGTAGTAACTAACGCTTCCCAATTGAGAAAATTGTAAATCGGCCCCATTGTGTGGATCAGCAATATTACAATACAACTTACATTTATATCATGCCTTTCATGTCAGGAGGATGTCTTAAAGTGCTTAACAATGCTGGATAGGTGTTGGGGGTGGGAGCTGAGGGAGGTGGAGAGATGACCGATAATGCAGTCAAAGAGGTACGTTTTGAGACATGCCTTGAAAGTGGGGAGGCAGGGAGCGAATTGGAGGGACTCTGGGATGGAGGAGCAGAAAAGCTGATAACTTTCCTGCCGATGGTGGGATGGATAGGGCGGGGACATGAAGCAGGCTGCTATTCATTGAGTGAAAGGAGAAGCTGGATCAATGTGGTTGAAGCAGGTCGCAGAGGTAGGATAAAATCTCAGTTGAGGGAATGGTACCACCAAATAAGACTTTAGAAGAACAAATCTGTAATAATGTGATTCTACAGAGCTAATGCTTTTCTAAAGAGTAAACAAATCACTGCTGTATCGACAGAGAACGCAAGATTGAACAAGGAAATACAAAATTTACTTTCTGAATTGATCCCAATCTTGTCCCTTCTTCTTCTAACTACTGAATCAGCCCAGAAGGAGAACCACTTGCCTTCAATCATCTGAGCTCAGATAGAATTTACATGACTGCTAGAGCAATTTTCTAATATTTCCTTATGGGCCATCAGGTTGGCTGGGAGGTTAGAGCTCTGCATATTTGCAGCTAATCTAAATGTCAGTCAATTTTTCTAATGCTATAAAGTTCTTTTGAAGCTGCTGCAGTACAACCTGGATTTATACTAAGGCCAAAGCAGTGATTCGATTTTGGTAGCAGTGCACTTAAACAAATCAGTGTCTTTTACCAATGATTCAGCATTAAAATAGCATTGAATCAATGGCAGGTGCAGAGTATAAAGAGAACAATAAACAGAGGACTGTATAAGTGAAAATGTTGAGATTAGTTTTGAATCCGAGTACCCTTTGAGTATAATTTCTCTGACACTTACATTTTTAAACCCCCTGTACAGGATCTGAAGCTCCTTCTTTGTGAATTTAGTTTGTGCCTGCATCTGTTCCAGCCCCTCAGGGCGATGGCAGACAGTAGCCATTTCCATTTCATCTTCAACACTGTCTGTAAAAGAGACAAAAGCAGGTATTATTCGAAAGAACAAAAGACTTTCTGAATCAGGAAAACAATTAACTTTCTTCAAACTCTTCCCCGAGACGCTCCCATTCTCTTTGACCCTTCCAACTCTGGGGCTCATAAAGTCCCCTTTCTGCCAGGGTCCTATACAAAATGAGTTTGTTCAACCTCAGCCAAGCTCATAATCTCTCTCTGTAGACACAGAATGACTGATATGAGGAATGACATGTCACACGGGTGAAGGTGGGGTGCTCTACAGACAATAAGATGAAGGTGAATACAGATGAATCTTTGCTGTTATCTGACTGACCTTTATCTCATCTGGAAGTTCTTGAAGTTGATGCATAAAGCAAAATAGTATTTGAGAGCTTTAGTTCTGAATGAATGATTCACTGACTTGTATGATTGACTCTGTATAAATCTGGTATGTATCTTATAATTGCTTTGCAAGAAGTGAAATCAGCAAATTAACTTAAGAGTTCCTAACGGATGAGCAGGGCAAGTTTTCAGGGATATTTAATAGTGTACAAACTGAGATTTAACTTTGAACAGAATCTAAATTAACACACAAGATGACTGAACCAGATAGGGTCTTTCAGCTGCTTTGCCATTGGGAGAGTTGCAGTACAGACCCACTTTGGAAAGTTATTTTGTTCTGTCAGTCTTTATGGCTCATAATCTTAGATTTTGAGTGAATCTAGATAAATATTAATCCCTAAAATATTTTGTGAGCATTACCTCAGAAATTCACTGATCCAGAAATAGTTGAAGGAATTAAAAGAGAGAAGATAGGTCCTTGGGAAGTAAAGTATTGTGTAAAATTATGGGGTAGTGCTTTGAGAAAGATAAAGCACTGTCAATACAATGATGCAACAAGTTGATACTGGCTTCATACTATCTTTATGTTGTCCCAGGTGTTCTCATTAAACCAACATTTACAGGTAATGAACAGGTAATATCAATAGAATCATCACCTTAGTTTCATACTGATTTGAAAGAGAAGTGCAAACTGACATTGCACGTAGCTGGCAAATACTCAGAAAAGATGCTGTATCAGAAATGGACATTTGAAGCCTTTTCTTTGACACAGGAAGGTTTACACGGCATTTGTTCATCTTGATTTGTGATTAAGTAAGAGACAAAATAACGTATCAAGAAAGAGAAAGAATGGGGATCGTGCTGAGTTTATTATGCACTGCGGGAATGAAAGTAAATGTACCACAATGAATTAGCCTCAGCACCCATGCTGATCTCTATCTAGAACCCCCTTTGTTGGTGCATATTGGTGCGCACCAAGTGAACATAGAACTGGGCTCCAACAACAACAACAAAATTACATTTGTAAAGTGCCTTTCAAGTCGAGAGGATGTCCCAAGGCACTGAAAAGTCAGGGATCACGACCCAAGCGTGGGGATCAGGGGGATGAGGGAGCACAGAGGAGGTAGGAGGGCAGCTGAAGGCAAAAGTAGGGTCTTGAGCCATGCCTTGAAGGAGTTAAGAGAGGGAGCAAAGTGAAGGGATTGTGGGATGGAGTTCCAAATGGTGGGGGTAGAGAGGCTGGAAACCCACTGTGATAACCTCTGCCAACAGTCTCTGGCAAGACTAAAGGGAATAATGGTCACTGAAGTGAGATACAGGAGGGTGACTGATCCCCATTGAACCATCCCTCAATAGGAAAGATAATATAAAACACCTTCAATTGGCAAGGTTAACAGTAAAGAAAATTATATTATATCCTACCTCCATCCTTTTTAAAAAAATGTTTTATTGGGGTCTAAACTGTTTTGGAGGGGTGTGTAATGAAGAGATGGAAGTCAAGCAGGAACAACAAAACAACAACAAAATAACATTTATAGAGCTCCTTTCATGTCGGGAGGACGTCCCAAAGCTCTGGAAAGTAGTGATGGGGGGAAAGATAAGCTCAGGATCAAATAATTAAGTGGAAATCGTTATTTTCTCTTCTTTTGAAAGCAGAATTCTGAAGATCAAATTAGAGAAGGTAGATATAAAAGGACCACCCTGAAAATTCATGGTGCTTGGCTAGTGCGAGAGATCCCAGCGGCTGGAGCCCGCTGGGCAGAGGGAGCGAACAGGATGGTAGGGTGTTAGGAGGTCACAGAGGCAGAGGGGAGCAAGACCGTGGAGGGCTTTGAAGGTGAGGACCAGGATCTTGAACTGGATCCTCTATGTGATGGGAAGCCATTGGAGTTGGGCAAGGATGGGGGTGATAGGGTCGTGGAACCTGGTGTATGAGAGACACGGGCTGCAGAGTTCTGAATGATCTGCAGCCTGTGGAGGGAGGAGTTGGGGAGGCCGAGTTTGCATAGTCGAGCCTCCACGTAATGAAAGCATGTATGAGGGTTTCGGTGGCCTGCTGTGTGAGACGGTGGTGGAGCTGGGCAAAGTTGCGGAGGTGGGGGAAGGCAGAGCAGATCATGGCGCAGATGTGGGGTAGAAAGTATGGTTGAGGGTCAAATAAGACCCCAAGGTACTGAACTGGCTTAGAAAGGTGGAGTGTGCAACCATGGATGGTGATGCTGTCAGCGCCTGAGGTGAGGAGGTGTTGACAGGAGCCAATCAGGAGAGCGTCAGTCTTGTTGATGTTCAACTGAAGAAAGTTAGCTCTTATCCAGGACTTGATGTCTGACAGAACACAAAAGAGGTCTGGATCAAAAGTACTTTGGTCCTTTCAGCTCCAGTCCTTGGCATACTTTGAAAAGGAATCTGTTATGTTGTGTGGGGAAATACAAATACACAGTCACTACACTTCACAGTAAAATTCTTTGAAGTGCTTTCAGATGTCTTGATGATGTGATAAGACACTATATCAAATGCAAGAATTATTATAAATTGGATGTAAAGATCTGCAATAATCTAACAAATTGGCAGATCAGCCTTAACTTGCTACTGTTCCTACGTTCCTAATTTGTGAAAACACAATCTACCTCTTCTGTACCGTGTTCCTGTCATTTATTTAGTTTATTTCATACAGGAAACCTTCCATCTTGTTTCTTATGATTTATTCCATTAATTTTCCAATTATTGAGGTCAGACTAATGGATCTGTAGTTGTCAGTTATGCTCTGTCACCTTTCACGAATATAAGAACCATGTTTACCCACAGAAAACATTGTCATTACATTTTACATTATATCCTGTAAAGCATTTTGATATATCCTCCTGAAGTGAAAGGTGCTATACCAAATGTAAGGATTGTAATTATTATTAATAATAATGTGGAGTCCTGTAGCTCAGTGGTTAGAGCGCTCGCCTCACAAGTGAGAGACCTGGGTTCGATTCCTGGTAGGTCAAAACCTTGGGTAAGTTTCTTACTCCACCTGCCTGATAATAATCCCTCAAGAAGAAAAAAATAATAATAATTCGGTTACTCAATTCACTGTTTGTGGGACACTGCTGTACGGAATTGGCTGTCACGTTTCGTCCACAAATATACAGTCAATTCACTTTACAGTATATTCTGTAAAGCACTTTCAGACGGCTAGACAATGTGAAAAGCGCTATATCAAATGCAGGAATTATTATTATTCTATTATTATGTTTGCTTACTTCCAGTTAGGAATGTACGTGTTCTGCATGCTTGATGTTCATTTATCCTCAACTGATTTATTCTTGAGTACTTCCTCCCTGTCTATGCGTTCATGCCCTGAAGTTTGTCTGTCTAAACTAGACCTGGATTGTTTGCTTGTGCCATTTTCTAAGTCAGATGAATAGTATTGACTATGGTCATTGTCACCTTGTGGTTTATTTACTTCTACTCCCTGAGCAGGAATCAGGGTCACTGACTAGAACTAAGCCAAGGAGAGAACTGCCCCTTGTGAGCTTCCTGACGCACATCAAGAAAGCGGTCATTTTACACCAGTACATTTCTTCACGAGCAGTTTGTGGTATAGTGACACCACATTAACTACATTAATGGATTTTCCATCAAGCCAGTAGCACTCATGACAAAGGAGCACTGCAAGTGACAATTACCTTATTGGTATTAAGCAGATATACACGATTCTTCAATCATGTTTCATCTCATTCACATTGTGTAAGGTCATACATTTGTAGATTGAATTTGCAGACTGCAAGGGCAATATAATACATTGTTCCACATTGGGAGAGAAGGTCAAACCATCTTGGGCAAGCGACTATGTTTGTGAAAGTTTTGAGTGCAGAGATGGGGTCACAGAGGCAATACCATGGCAGCAATGGTGTATAAGCTGCTATTGTGGAGAGCTTTTGGTTTCAGTGTGGCTGCTCATCTTCCCTTTTTTGAGGCTAACATACAGTGGCCATAGGGCAGGGGGACATAGGTTGTGCACCAGGATCAAATGAGAAGAGTGGATAAAAGGGATCATGTAGTAAGTGTAATCACGCATTCATGCTATCTGTTTTCTTCATTGGAAAGACTTAGTATTCCATTGTTGCACAATAAAAAAAACGAATTTCTGCAATGGAATACCAATACCCAGCCAAGCAAGCTGAACACCCTCAATCATACTTCTGCACATATGTGGGGCAACAGAGCTCAGTATATCTCATGCACATTGATGCTCAGTGATCCTCTGTAATATTATTATTATTATTAATAATACAGAGATAATAATAGAGATAATAATAATCCTTGCATTTGATATTGTGCCTTATTGTGTCATCAAGATGTCTCAAAGGGCTTCATAAAATATACTGTAAAGAAATATGGCAGTGTGTATTTTGTGTACGAAAGAACCAAAAAGCCATGTAATGAATATTTATTTGGGGGATTGTTGGCCGGGACTCCCTTCTCTTTTTGAATAGTGCCACTAGGATCTTTAATGTCCACCTGGATAAGCAGATAGGACCTCAGTCTCAACTGAATGATGGTACCTTCAACAATGCATCATACTCCTTGTACTACATTGGATGTCAGCAGACACTATATGAATTCCAATTCCCAGAGTGGAGCTTGAACCCATAACCTTTTGACTCAGAGTCAGAAGGTTG